CCGAAAGGCCCTCTACCTACTTACACCATCACATTGAGGGTTAGGATTTCAACATAAGAATTTGGGGGACACAGACATTTAGTCCATGACAAGAGAATATAGCAAGCTTGAGCAAAGTAGAGCAGCAAGAGGCTTCTGGTAGCTCAGGATACCAGGGTCTAGGGAAAGAGACCCTGGGAGTAATTAGGAAGATGTCAGTGACAACTTTTACTTGCTTGGAAGTATTATTGAAGCCCATTTTGAAGTGTGGTCTGCCTCTGAACCACCTACAGAACTAAAAGGCAGATTTTTAGGCACTATCCTCAGACCTAGTTGCTTAAAAATCTTATATTGTCTTCAACCCTAGAATAAGTTCACCCACATGACCTAATCACCCCAAAGGCCCTCTACCTACTTACACCATCACATTGAGGGTTAGGATTTCAACATAAGGATTTGGGGGACACAGACATTTAGTCCATGACAAGAGAATATAGCAAGCTTGAGCAAAGTAGAGCAGCAAGAGGCTTCTGGTAGCTCAGGATACCAGGGTCTAGGGAAAGAGACCCTGGGAGTAATTAGGAAGATGTCAGTGACAACTTTTACTTGCTTGGAAGTATTATTGAAGCCCATTTTGAAGTGTGGTCTGCCTCTGAACCACCTACAGAACTAAAAGGCAGATTTTTAGGCACTATCCTCAGACCTAGTTGCTTAAAAATCTTATATTGTCTTCAACCCTAGAATAAGGACAATTCTAAATCCTACTTTGAGCCCAGAACCTCCTTCTACTCCCCAGAAGTTTGGGCCATGTTGGAAATTTCCTACTTACGCTTTTAACTACTAGTTCTTAAATTTGTATCATTAGTAACATTGTTTAGCTATTTATAAGTTAATTGGGATTTTTTTTGAATGGTTTGTTAGGACCTAACTTGTTTAGGCAATAAAGGTTCTAAATGTCAACCAAGTCATTCATTTATTTAGTAAGTTGGAATCAGGCTTGTATGGATAATTCAGAGTTTCTGACAGTGTTCCAAATGGGTTCTACTGGGTTACATAGTAATTAATAGTTTTATTAGTTTGGTACAAAAGCAATTGCAGTTTTGGACCATGGGTTTTAAATCATTATAACTAGGCTCAGACACATCTTTATGAATCAAAATAGGAACCATTACATTCAACACATTTTTTTCCAAAAAGAAATAGGTTTCTTTATTTCTGTAGCGTAAAAATCCATGCTTCAGGACTCAACTTGGAAAGCATTTTCTGCCTCCTGGTTGTGTAAGCATTTTCTCTGCAAAAAGTTCTTGAGATGCTTGAAGTGGTTAAGTGGTTGGTGAGAGGTCAGGTGAATATGGTGGATGAGGCAAAACTCTGTAGCCCAATTCATTAAACTTTGGAAGCACTGGTTGTGAGGCCTGTGGTCAGGCGTTGTCACGAAGAACTGGGCCCATTATATTGACCAATACCGGCTGCAGGCGTTGCAGTTTTCAGTGCATCTCTTCGATTTGCTGAGCACGCTTCTCAGATGTAATGATTTCACCAGGATTCAGAAAGCTGTAATGAATCAGACGGGCAGCAGACCACCAGTGACGATGACCTTTTTTGGGTGCAAGTTTGGCTTTGGGAAGTGCTTTGGAGCTGCTTCTCGGTGCAGCCGCTGAGCGGATTGTCACAGGTTGTGTAAAATCCACTTTTCGTTGCACATCACAATCTGATCAAGAAATGGTTTGTTGTTGTGTAGAATAAGATGATGATTTTTTTGATTTGCAGTCAGCCCACAAGGCACCCACTTACCAAGCTTTTTCACCTTTCCAATTTGTTTCAAGTGTGAAACAACCATACAATGGTTGACATTGAGTTCTTAGGCAACTTCTCATGTAGTTGTAAGAGGATCAGCTTTGATGATGGCTCTCAATTTTTGTTGTCAACTTCCGATGGCTGGCCACTATGCTCCTCCTCTTTAAGACTCTCGTCTCCTTTGCACAACTTGAACTGACCACGGCACTGTATGTTTGTTAGCAGTTCCTGGGCCAGATGCATTGTTGATGTTGTGAGTTGTCTCCACTGCTTTATGATCCATTTTGAACTCAAATAAGAAAATCGCTCAAATTTGCTTTTTGTCTGACATCATTTCCATAAACTAAAATAAATATAAAATACACAGCAAGTATATAAGTCATTAGCAAGAAAAAGTGAGAAATACACATTAAAATGATGTATAACATAACTACATTTATTTAAGAAGGTATTCCAGTATCAAACAGCCAAGTTCAACAATGCAAAACTGCAATTACTTTTGCACCAACCTAATAGTAACAAGTTAATTGTTTTAAAATAATTGCATAAAAATAATTCAAGATTTTTTTCAATTTGTCCATTTGTTTTAGTGAGCTGTATATGTTTAAAACATTTTAAAAGTATTTTTAAGTAAAAATTTTACTTAAAATATTATTTTACTGTACTATTATTTGAATTAGAAATGTCTAGAAGTTTGTCATTAAGAGTACTGAATGATCCATTTAGCCTTTGAGGCTTATTGACATATGACCTTTTAATTAAAGCTGAATTACCCTTCTATATAATAGTCTTTCTTAACTGAAGTTCCCCAATCTGGACCGCAAAACACCAACAATTGAGTGATTAGTTTCCCAATTCTCCCAAGTTTGATACATAGCAAGTATGCATAGGAGAGAAGTTAATTCTTTACATCAGTGGAAGCCTTAAGGCAGGGGTCTTCAAAACTGGGCCAAGGATAGTTTTACATCTTTTAATTGTTGGGGGGGGGAGAGATCAAAAGAGTAGTAGTATTTCTACTACTATGTGACAGATAAAATTTGAATTTTATTGTCTGAATAACTTACAAGTCGTAACTTACAAACTTAAAAAGTTAATTTTACTGAACACAGACACATCCATTCATTACATATGACCTGGGTGCTTTCCCACTGCAGCTGTGGAGTTAGGTGACCGAGACCGAGACTCTATGGCCCACAAAGCCACTGTCTGGCCCTTTACAGAAAAAGTTTGCTGACCCCTGTCTTAGAGCATTAGGCCTTTCATCTCTCACAGGATTGGTTGAGAAGGTTTTTGTCTAGGAAAAGAATTATACTGTTTGAATTTTTTGATGGTTTATTCAGAAACTTTAATTTTCAGCATAATACCAATGTTTGTCTTTCAGACTATGCCTTTCCATACATTATATTAGTATTATCTTTGGTTACTCTGGCTGTGTACATGTCAGCTTCTGAAATAGAGGTAGGATGTCTTTTTTCTTTTGTTAAAGAGTTTGTTTTTTAATAGATTTGACTATTGAATAGGACAGTTACATATGATACATATGATAACATATGATACAGCTGATTGCTTTAGTAGTCCTTGGCTAAACAGGGTCACTCAGTAGCTTTGGGCTCATCAGTTTGTAAAAAGTTGTATTCTAGACTGTATTTGCTTGGGAAATTAATCAGGCTTAACTCTCCAGCATGTTAGAGAAAAAAATCATTTCACATCATTTATCCACATAGAAAATATTTGATTATTGAAATGTTGAACCTTATTAACAGTATTTTAAGGGAAACATAAATTCTTTATTTTACATAGAACTGAGCTGATGAGCCATTTAATGAGGGAACGTTAACTAACCAGTTGCCAATTGTATTTTAGTGTGTTTATTAGCACATTTAGATATTACTTTTATAATTTGGTCCTTCCAATTTCTGTATATTATAGAGTGATATTAAGGTTAAAGGGAAATCAGAGTAGTCACCTGTCATTTCTGCTCCCTTTTAAGTAACCAGGCAGCTGACTCTAGGAATGCTAGAAATTGGGTGTATGTACTCCCTGCTTCCCATCTGTAGACTCAGATGCTGTGGATCAGGGCAGGAAGAAGGCACGGAATGTGGAATTCCCTTCCAGTGTAGATTTTTCAGAAGCAGCCATGGTGTTTCCAGGGTCGAATGGGGGTGTAGACCAGAACCTAGAAATGTGGGCTCCTCTCTTGTCATGGCCACTTTTGTGCTGAACATAGGAAGCCTGAATTTCCTCATCTGTAAAGTATAGTAGCAAGACTGGGTGATTTCCTATGTCCCTATGATTCTGAGGTTATGATTTTGTGTGAAAATAATATGTTTCAAATTGAAATTAATAAATTATCTAGTTGATTCAGCCCAATAATCTGTATCTCTCTCTTCTTTCTTTTACAAAATTTTATAGAACTGCTATGATCTTCTGGTCAGAAAGAAAAGACTTATTGTTCTCTTCAGCCACTGGCTACTCCATGCCTATGGGATCATCTCCATTTCCAGAGTGGATAAACTTGAGCAAGATTTGCCCCTTTTGGCATTGGTACCCACACCAGCCCTTTTTTACTTGTTCACTGCGAAATTTACCGAGCCTTCACGGATACTCTCAGAAGGAGCCAATGGACACTGAGTGTAAAATGCCAAAAAAACCTAAGAAGTGTTCTTAATTAAAAAAAAAAGTAAAATAAAAAAATGTATTGGTACTCTTCTGTCGTACAAGGGAATATGATTGTCAGTACATCTGATGTTTGGGGGAGTTTGTTGTTTTCTTTTTTCAATTTAACAGAATTTATGGTTTCAAGGGAAATGCAAAATACCATAATTCTCCATTATGTAGTATAACCCACTGTACACTTACAGCACTCCGTTATATTCCACTGGAGGCCTATGAGGAAGCACTTACCTCTTGCAACAATTTAGCTGTTCTTTAGAGCAAAATCATGTTTCTTGTACCTAGCAATGTGTGACGTTCCTATTTTTATTAAGAAAAACTATTAACAAGTATAATCTGAAATCCTTAACATTGGCATAATTGTGCATGCCTATTGTGTTTTACTTTGTTTTTCAAATATACTGAATTATAAAGTCAAGCATATTTGTGGGGTCTGATAGCAAACAGAAATAAAGTATGTTGTTTTTGTTATCTATTTATTTTCACCAATACAGTATTTTGATCTATTACAAAAATAGAGCATAATTTATATAACAGGTTTTTTGTTTTTAGGTAGTTTCGTTGAAGATATCCTCAGGTTATTCCTCTCCTGTAAAGAAAAACATTAATAAAAAGCTTAACTACAAAAAAGTCTCAAATGTCTGGCATTTAATTGTATTTGCCACACTAGTTGTGGAAATAATTCAAAATGTTAAGTAATTAGTGTCTCTTTCCTAAATGAATAAACATGAATATTTATATACGTCCTCATTTTTGAAAAGCATATCTCATTTATCTCATTTTTGAAGGATAAATACACATACCACATTTTATAAATCTCAAGACATAATTTTTGTCACATTGTGACATCTCAGTTGATGTCACAGTATATACAGTACGTAGTTTTCCTGCGCTAAGTCACTTCAGTCATGTCCCACTTGATGTAACCCTATGGACTATACCCTGCCAGGCTCCTCCGTCCATGGGATTCTGCAGGCAAGAACACTGGAGTGAGCTTCCATTTCCCTCTCCAGAGGATCTTCCCAACCCAAGGATGGAATCAGTGTCTCTTAGTCTACTGCATTGGCAGGCGGGTTCTTTACCACTAGCGCCACCTAGGGAGCCGATGGTTTTCCTGTGGTTGGTTGGTTGATGTGTGCTGTGATTTTTATACTCCAAAGCCTTCAGGAGACTCATGGTTGCAACCATGGAAGCAAAAGAAGATTTTTGCACTTAATAATCTGACCTAGTTTATCCGTTTGTATTATTCAGAAGGTTATTTCCTGATTCTCCTCCTTAGTAAGAGTTATTAAATCTCAAACTTTTAAGACTCATTGACAGTTGTGAAATATGAAAGAACGTGCACTCACTTTTTCTGTAGTTTTGTACCTTTTGAATTCACAGCAGTTGTGTCCAGTATTTTGTTAGCTTTTCTTCGTTGATGTTTTTTTCATACTACATTGAACTGCTGGGATGTGGATTACTTTAACAGGACTCTGTTTCTTCTTTTCTATAGGAATAAATGTAAAAATTCTCTGTGTATCTTACATAAGTTTAGGGAGTTACAACTTTAAATTGCCCCAAGAGTCCTCAATTGGACGATTGTATAATGAGCAGAGGGTGGGGCGTGGAGGGGTGGGGAAGGTGCTGGGGGATCATGCAACTGATTACCAGGGCAATCTTTGTCTCACTACATTTGGAGTCATTTTAATAATTATCTTCCCTTCCAATGTCCTCCTCTAGCAGAAAAATGTACATGCAAAAGGAGAAATCATGCAAGTAATACAAGTCCTCAAATGCAAAGAATTTCAGAAATACTTAATACATAATTGCATTTTTAATTTGCTTCCTTAATAAGACTAGGATAATTTATAGTAGCTATGGTTGCTCAGGCTACTAAATAATTTTTTATAAGTCATTGAAAATACACAGTTTTGTCTTGGATCTCGCTGCTGCAGTGTATGGTAGTTACTTTGCTAATCACCGGACAGGTAATTTAAAAGCTAAAATTTTCTTAATTTGGGTCAGTTGATAAATTTAACAATTACACTGTTAATATATTTGTCTAAAACTGATGGTTTTCCATACTTGGCTGCACAATGGAGCCAGCTAGAGAGAATTCTAAAAATACTCGTGGGTCTCACCCCAGAGACTCGTGGTGAATTGGTCTGGCTGAGCAGAGGAAATTTTAAAACTTCCCCTGCTGCTGCTGAGTCGCTTCAGTCGTGTCTGACTCTGTGCGACCCCGTAGACAGCAGCCCACCAGGCTCCCCCGGCCCTGGGATTCTCCAGGCAAGAACACTGGAGTGGGTTGCCATTTCCTTCTCCAAAACTTCCCCTAGGTGACTCTAATGTTTGAAAACTAAAATCTAAACTCTTCCTAGCTCAGATCTTAATTTTTCCAAGAGGGCTTTAGAAAATTTCTGAATTACATTTTTAAGTATTTCTTACTGAAAATTTGATTCTGCTTAAACAACCAGGTTCTTTTCCAGAACTAAGAGATCAAAATATAGATAATTATAATCAAGTCCTTTTGATCACAATCATAAAAAGATAACTTTAACAGAAAGCTTACACAGATTTTTATATCTTTCTCTAAAAGTATCTCTTGGCCTAAATAAGTCTTCGTAGAGCACATATCAAGTTAAGATATTTGATTAGTACACAAATTGTTATCTGTTATCTAAATTATACTATATGGTATAATACTCAGGGATTTTTGGAAGTTTAAAACATTATTTTTAATACTTCTTTAAAAATAATCTTTGCAGGTTAATTAGGTTTGCTATACACCAAAAATTAATTTTTAAGACTATTAAAGCAAAAAGTAATGATTTTAATTTTCAGGATGAAGTCTGGCATTTCACATTCTGCCAAGCCTATCCCTCATGCTTGCCAACCAGTACCTCCAGCAGATCTCTACTCAGGCACATCCTTACTGTTCCCTGGCCAGTCCACGTCTACTGCTCCTTCAGGAAGACATCCCATGTACTCTCAACACCCGAAAGAACGGAGGTGCCTCTTTACCCTCCATTGCTACTGACGGAGGAATCCACTGTAGTCTAATCATCTCTTCACTTGTGTGTTTCTCACAGTGAATATGCTTTGAGGTTCAGGGACTGAGTCATGTTCAGTTTAGTAACATAAAAGTAAACATAAACGTTTAGTAAACGTGCTCTAGTGGGTTTCCCAGGTGGTTCGGTGGTAAAAGAATCTGCCTGCCAACGCAGGAGACAGGGATTCCATCCCTGGGTTGGGAAGATCTGGAGGAGGGCATGGCAACCCACCCCAGTATTCTTGCCTGGAGAATGCCATGGACAGAGGACAGGCTACATACAGCCCAAAGAGTGGGACATAACTGAGCGCCTAAGCTTGCAGGCGAGGGCTAGTGCCGGCTCAAAGGTACTCCGTATGCTGACACAGCGAGGGCGGTGCCTGGGAGCACAGCAGACCCCGGCGGGCTGCAGCGATACACTGTGTCCAGAAGAGGGTGCCGGAGAGGGCCGTTAAGCTGGAAGAGCTCAAGGGCTTCTGCAGAAGTCCGCCAGTGACAGCAGCCATTCGATACGAAATATCCAAGAGCTGGTAGCTCAGAGTAATTCAAGGGGTCTATTATCTCCTCAGGAGGTACGAAGACTTCAGAAATGTCAGTGCCTAATCTGTCTGAGGTATCATTTATTATTCCTGTTAGCATCCATATTTAACAACCTTGGCAATTAACGTTGCCAAGTCACTAAGCTGTGTCCAACTCTTTCAGACTCCATGGACTATAATAGCCTGCCAGGCTCCTGTGTGCATGGGATTTCCCAGGCAAGAATACTGAAGCGGGTTGCCATTTCCTTCTCCAGATCTTCCTTACCTAGGGATCGAACCTGCGTCTCCTGCATTGCAGGCAGATTCTTTTTACCACTGAGCCACTTGGAGCAACTAAACGGTGGAGGTTAAATAATGTGTTAAGAAGCAGAGCTGGAATTTGATCCCAGGTCCGCCTACCTCCAAAGCCCATGTGGTACCAGTCCTACAGGAGCAGAAACAAGTGGAGTCGGAGAATCCAGAGATGCTCCTTTATAGCTCATCTCCATTTCCAGTTCTCTAGAGATCTCTCTCCCAATTCCTTAACCAGGTCAAGTCTCTCTCCCTCTCAGGTTCTCTCATGGTTCTCATGCCCCACCTGTAAAATCCCTATGACATGACACTTTACACACATTTGCTTAATAAATTCTCCCACTGTACTCAGGGGTTGGCAAACTGCAGGCACAATTCTGCTAATGATGGCAGACCTGAGTAGATGCTACACAGACCTCATGCGTGACAAAGCCAAAAAATACTATGGCCCTTTAATATTTGCAGTCTTTTGTGCTAGATTATGAGTTCCATTTGGTGGGGATTATCTGTTTTCATTGACCACTATAACCCTAGAGCCTAACATGGTACTTGGCACAAAATAGGCTTCAGTAAATACTTTTGGAATTCAGTTTAGAGCTAATAGTGAAATGTGGATGCAACCCTAAAAACAGGAGGAATTGCAAGTATCAGTATGCCCAATTAGGAACGTTTCAGTGGCTGCTAACAGTACTGGCTTTTTACATTGAAATTCCTCCAATCAAAAATCTATTGACTGAAAATATATTCAGTAGAAATATTTTTTCTCATAAAATTTAGTGATATTCTTTTCATTTCCAACCACAAAAGGAGAACATTTAAATTTTTCCAGAATAGGCATCACATAACAGCTTGTTCATCACTGAATGGCCTAGAACAAAGAAAGCATCATATCCCTCATTCTCTTATTTGTCTCAGTGGATATGATCCTTAGGGTTTGCCATGTTGCCAAGAAAGCGCACCCACTCCATGAGTGATCAAAGGAAAAGGTACCTTACAGAGTTTGGCAAACATCTACTGTTTACCTACTGTTCACCTAAACAGTAAATACTTCAGGTGGGGTGAGTCGCGGGGTCCCTGTCACAGTGCCTGTCATTGTAGCACAAAAGCAGCCAAATGTAATGTGTGAATGTATGAGCATGGCTGGGATTGAATAAAACTTTATCTCCGCATACAGAAATTTTAATTTCATATAATTTTCTAGTTGGTGGTGTTGGTCAGTCATTCAGTCATGTCTGACTCTTTGCGACCCCTTGGACTGCAGCACGCCAGGCTTCCCTGTCCATCACCAACTCTCAGAGCTTGCTCAAACTCAGGTCCATCAAGTCAGTGATGCCATCCAACCATCTCATTCTCTGTAATCTCCTTCTCCTCCTGCCTTCTATCTTTTCAAGCATCAGGGTCTTTTCCAATGAGTTGGCTCTTCGCATCAGGTGGCCAAAGTATTGGAGCTTCAGCTTCAGCTTCACTCCTTTCAGTGAATATTTTGGGTTGATTTCCTTTAGGATTGACAGGCTTGATTTCCTTTAGGATTGACGGGTTTGATCTCCTTGCTGTCCAAGGAATTCTCAAAGAGTCTTCACCAGCACCACAATTTGAAAGCATCAGTTCTTAGGTGCTCAGCCTTCTTTTTTTTTTGTAATTAATTTATTTTAATTGGAGGCTAATTACTTTACAATATTGTAATGGTTTTTGCCATACATTGACATGAATCAGTATGGTCCAGCTCTCACATCCATACATGGCTACTGGGGAAACCATAGCTTTGACTAGATGGACCTTTGTTGACAAAGCAATGTCTCTGCTGTTTAATATGCTGTCTAGGTGGGTCATAACTTTTCTTCCAAGGAGCAAGCATCTTTTAATTTCATGGCTGCAGTCACCATCTGCAGTGATTTTGGCACCCAAGAAAATAAAGTTTGTCACTGTTTCCACTGTTTCCTCATCTATATGTCATGAAGTGATGGGACCAGATGGTATGATCTTCTATTTTGNCTGAAGATCCAATACTTTGGCCACCTGATGTGAAGAACTGACTCATTGGAAAGACCCTGATGCTGGGAAAGATTGAAAGCAGGAGGAGAAGGAAATGACAGAGGATGAGATGGTTGGATGGCATCACCAACTCAATGGACATGAGTTTGGGCAAGCTCTGGGAGCTGGTGGTGGACAGGGAAGCCTAGCATGCTGCAGTCCCTGGGGTCACAGAGTCAGACACGACTGAGCAACTGAACAACAACAATTATGTTCTTGTTCTGTGTGGCAGGAATACCATAACATGGCAAAAATGGTAAAACTTTTGCCTGATGGTGTGTATATGTGTGTGTGTGTGACTTTTATGCTTTTCATACTTGCAATATTTCATAATCAGTATTAACTGGAGCTTGTTCCAGTTACCTAGAGTAAGCACAGCTTAAGAGTCATGTATACTGATTGCCTATCAAATGAACTTAAATTTTAATTAAATGATTGTACCATTTGGATGATATAAAAATGAATGCCATATATCGGACTGACCCATGTGTGTGCAGTTGTATCCGACTCTGTGACCCCATGGACTGTAGCCTGCCAGGCTCTTCTGTCTAGGGAATTTTCCAGGCAAGACTACTGGAGTGGGTTGTCATTTCCTTCTTCAGGGGATCTTTCCACCCAGGGATTGAACCCATGTCTCTTGCATCTCCTGCACTGGCAGGCAGGGTCTTTACTAGCTAAGCCACCAGGGAAGCCCATTATTTATATTTTATTTGGGTTGGTTTTCACACAAAGCAACTATTAATATTACTCTCTTCTGTACACAGTATCTTAAATTGAAATGGAAGTAAAAATTAAAATCCATGCTGAAGAATGGAATATACAAACTGACAATGGCCAGACCATACATGACAATAGACCCATGAATTGACTATATATGCAATTAGCCCAGAATAGTCATAATTTGATCAATGGCTGCCAACTTCCCTCCTTTATAACCCTTCTTCTAACTCATGATCAACCAAAGAGCCAAATATGCTCACTAATCTATCACATAGGCTTCCACTAATCTATCCAGCTTCTAGTCAGCCTGTTGCCAGCTTTCCAATGCCAACAACCTCCAGTCAGAACACACCCGAAGCTTTCCTTTTCCCCACCCCCAACACTAAACCTCTCCCACTCCCGTGCCTGCCTCTGAATCTCCACCAAAAACAAGTGATGGTGACACTGACTCCCCTGTTCTACCAAGCTTTATGCCTCGGCTTGTTCTCATTTGGGGGGCCTTCCATTATTTCCATGCTGCAATCCTCCACTTTCAATAGGTTATCAGTTCTCAAAATACAAGAAAGGGGGTTTAGCTTTACAACATAGTACATTTAAATTTGCTCCAATATTCTATCAGGTTTCAGACAAAAAGGGGGAAGATTTTCTCATGTGAAAACAGTACAATTGAAGAAACTCTTTAGCTCTTACAAGTCTACTTGATCTACAGTTACTAGGGATGGCCTGACCTAACAAAGAAAACGCAGAGTTAAGCAAGATGCACATAGACCCTTTGTGCAATAAGATATAATAAGTATAGGGGCTTCCCTGGTGGCTCAGGGGTAAAGAATCTGCCTGCAGCGCAGGAGAGGAGGGTTCAGTCCCTTGGTCAGGAAGGTCCCCTGGAGGAGGGAATGGCAACCCGCTCCAGTATTCTTGCCTGAGAAATCCCACAGACAGCAGCCTGGCGGGCTTCAGTCCATAGGATCACAGAGTCCGACATGACTGAAGCCACTGAGCATGCAGACATAACAAGTATCATCAAGGTGGAACATGATGACAAACACAGCTTTTTGGTTGATAAGAAGATTCACCCACAAAATTCCTTCGTGGCTGCTAAAACATTATTCTTTTATCAAGCAACACCCTCAGGACACTGTTTTTTGGTTTTTTACCAAATATCTAGATGTTTTTAATTGTGCCACTTTCTTTCATTTTACTTTTATTTCACTTATTTTATTTTTTACAACTCACCTTTAGTATGGTTTATCTAATGATGATGCTCTTAAATCTTAATAACCTCTAATAGATCTTTACACTTGTCAGACAATACTATTTTCATTTCACCTCTCCATCTCTCCCCTATGCTCTATTTGCCTTCCTTCTGACAGCGCCCTCTACCTCCACCATCCCGCCTTTTCAAGGGATTCCAGCCCTGGGATCCCTGGGCTGGGATTCACCTCTGCTTCTCACTGCAGTCCTGGTATGGACAGAGTTCTGTGGCCCTGGTGTTTAACACGACTCTAGAGTAGGGACTGAGGATGAAGGTTGATCTTCCTCTGAAAAGACTGCGTTGCTTGGTCTTGAGTCAGTTGTTCTATAATAGATGTGTTAACATCTCAGGAGATCCAGAAAGCATCATTAGACTTTCAGAGAAGGCAACAGTTCCTGTTTCTAATGCTAAACCCAGCTCAGGAAGAAAGGGAAAAATGATGTTCAATATCTTCTTTTAAGAAGACAAGGAAGCATGTAAAAGAGTTTAAAAAGATTTGCGGGGAGGAATATTTTTAAAAATCAGAAAGAAGTTGAGATTCAGTTATTTAGGAGACTCACTAAGATGAAAGGGAGGCTTGCCCAACACTGCTACATTGCCATATTCAATCCCACAAATGAGAATCAATATTCAGTGAACATATGTGATATTATTGGGAATAGATTATTGCGGATAACTAAATTACTGGTTGGCATTCTTTTGGGGGGCTATTTTTGATGTCACCAGTGACAGTAAAATAGCAGAAAGTTCTTGAGATGTTACTTACTGAGAAAGTTTGTCTCCGATTCCTGTTCCATAAGACTACGCATCTCTTCAAGGTCTGATTGAAGTAAAATACTGATTTGCTCGATTTTTTCATCTCTTTCACACAGCTTGCCTATCAGATTTTTTATTTCTCTCAAGATTTCATTAGCACTTTCTACCAGTTCCTTAAAAAAAAATAGCATTTGGGGGTATGTGAATATAAGTAGCAACAAAATAAATAAAAATATCTAGTACAAGTGAGTCATGCACAAGACAAAAATACATACACACTACTGGTACTAGTTGTGTAAAGTAAGTGTCTGAACACAGAAAATTCACAAAGTTCTGTAAAGGATGTTAGAAAAGTGGATTAACAAATGAGATTTAATAGATTGCTCACTCAACTCAAAATTTTAACTGGGTAGGGTAATAGAGGTGGTGGCGGCGGCGGCATAAAAAAGCCAGCTCATCTTAGGAGCACCACAGAACTGCAGAGGCGATTCAGTGCAGCTTGCAGCTTAAGAGAAAGAACTTTGCAATCAGGGAGATCTGAGCTTTAAATCCCCGAAAGTTCATCAATGGGCTTCCCTGGTGGCTCACATGGTAAATAATTTGCCTGAAATGCAGAAGACCTGAGTTCAGTCCATGGGTTGGGAAGATCTCCTGGAGAAGGGAATGGCCACCCACTCCGTATTCTTGCCTGGAGAATCCCATGGACAGAGGAGCCTGGAGGGCTATACAGCCTGGCCTTGGGCAAGTCACTTCAATTGTCTGAGTCTCAGTAGATTCATCTAAAAAAGGCATTACTAGCACTTCTCTTAGCCTCTGTTTAAGGGTTAAACAAGGATCACAGGTAATCTTCAGTTACTTAGAAAGTAGCAGAACCAGGATTTATATTCTAGTCTACCTGCTTCTAAAGCAGGGAGATATGGAGATGGTGCATAGCTGGTAAAATGTGGAGGAAAGATAGAGTTCAGAACTGACAAATTTGTCCTAAAATAATCTGTCTTCTGTTTATGCTTGGAAATAAAAATGTCATTCCCACTTTAGCTGAAGTGGTGGAGTGGGAAGATAGCTTCCCAAAGGATTAAGATTTCAAAATGACATTTTATATTCTTAAGAATAAGACAACAGGCCCAAAATGGAGTCACTTATACTAAATCCCACGTCACCAAACTGAGAGACTTAATTAGTTTCAGTTCTCTCAGAAATGGAATCTTAACCAATCCATCAGGAATTACCTGATCAGCACTAAATAGGTAATCTGCCTGGTCAATCCCTGCCATCCCCGAAGGGGAAGTGGCCTTGCAATATGGAACCTGCCATTTTTGCCTGGAATGACTTCCTTGTTCTTGCTCCCTCTGCCTATAAAAGTCTTTCATTTTGTACAGTCCCCAGAGCTTCTTCCTGTCTGCTAGCTAAAATGCTGCCTGATTTGTGAGGTGTTGCACAAAGCCAATCAAGTCTTTAAAACTGATTCAGTTGAGATTTGTTTTCTAGCAGCACAAAGGACACATTTTAGGATGTGATGATCACATGAGCTCTGTCTTCCTTCCTTACACACACACTTATTAGGTAGGTAGATATCTAACCAGAAACTTCTAGGCATATCTATAAGTTTCAACTTCTGAAATGTCAGACTAACACTTGCCCTCCCACTGTAAAAAAGGAGAAAATGGGACTAAATATATAAAACAAATAAATCTGCTGCAATATCCAGTTTTCAGATACTAGAGAATGGGCAACACAGAACAGTGATGCCTAAAAAAAGGGAGCCCTCCTCTGGTCACTGGGCTTTCCTGGGGGAGGTGGGGGGTGCAAGCTGAGTAAGGCAGGCTTGCACACAGACACGGAAATCTGTTCAAAGATTAACAAATCAAATCCAGCAAAATATGAAAACAGTAACAGCTTTTGAAAAAGTGGATCTTATTGCAGGAGTGGAAGATTGGTTTGACATTCCAAAATCAATCAGTGCAATTTTCCACACTAACCTTGTAAAGGAAAACACCACCTGAGGACCTCAGTGGCTGCTTGAGTCGCTGAGGTCATTCACTAAGACACTGCACGCCCATGTGCCTGACCCCCTCCAACAAGTACCCTGGACACCCAACCCTGTCAACTCCCCTGCCTGGCACCAGTTCGCATGTGTCACACACCAGTGCTGGGGGAATTAAATGCATACCACTGGGATGGAACTCTAACTCCACTGGGAGAGGTCACCTGCAAGCTTGCACCTAGTCTCCACCAAGCCCTTCTCCCTTCGCTGATTTTACTCGGTATCCTTCATTGTAACAGACAATAACCATCAAGTATAACAACGTCTGAGTCCTGTGAATCTTTACAGCTAATCACTGGGACTGAGGATGGTCTTGAGGACCTCTGAAACAACACTAACAGCTGTGAAAGCTTGCTGAGAAAAATTAAGTAAGTTCTAAATAAATGGAGGTATATACTGTATTCTTGGATTGGAAGTCTTCACTTTGTTAAGATGTAAATTCTCCTCAGATTGATTTATAGATTCAGCACAAACTCAAGATCCCAGCAGGGGTATGCATGTATGTAGATTAATAAGCTAATTCTAAAGCTTATATGGAAATAAAAATATCGAAAATAGCCAAAATGATTCTAACAGAGAAGCACAAATGAGAAGAACTTTCATTACATGATTTCCAGATTGAATATGAAACTATAGCAATCAGGACAGTGTGATGCTGGTATAAATTCAGATACTTAGAATAAAGGAACAGATTCACAAAACTGATTTTTTTTAAAAAGTCATTGAGTATAGAGAAGGAAATGGCAACCCACTCCAGTATTCTTGCCTGGAAAAGTCCATGGACAGAGGAGCCTGGCGGGCTGCAGTCCATGGGGTTACATGACTGAGCATGTGTGCACGAGGGTGGAGGGAGATGGGTTGGTAGCAATAAAGTGGTAAAACTGAAAAAAAAAAAAGAAATTTTTAGGTGGTAAGTTTCATCAGTGTTTTTTCTTTATGTCTTGGTGTTAAAGTCACATCCATTACTAAACTTTTTCCTGCTCCTTTAACACTTTGTGCGTTTAATTCTTTGCTATGAGTGTACTCATTTTTGAAACAAGGAATTAAAATTTCCCCCCCAAATGCCTCTCCTTAATGTCACTATTGAATAACAGGTTCTTTTTCCACGATGTGAAATGACACCTTTTACTGTTTACCAAATTCCCATATGGTGGCTCAGTGGTAAAGAATCTGCCTGCCAAGCAGGAGACTCAGGTTCAATCTTTGGGTCGGGCAGATCCCCTGGAGAAGGAAATGACTACCCTCTNGTACAACTACTTTGGAAAATAGGCCATTTCTTATAAATCCAGTGATTCCCCTCCTTTGTATTTACCCAAGAGAAACTAAAATAAATATTCTCAAAAACACAAATAGTAACCCCCAAATGGAAACAATCCAAATATTCCTCAGCTGATGAAGGGATAAACAAAATATGGTACATCCATTTAAAGGACCACTACCAAACAGCTACTTCCCTGGTAGCTCAGACGGTAAAGAATCTGCCTTGCAATGTAGGAGACACAGGTTTGATCCCCGAGTCAGGCAGATCCCATGGTGAAGGGAATGGCAACCCACTCCAGTATTCTTGCATGGAGAATTCCATGGACAGAGGAGCCTGGCAGGCTACAGTCCCTGGGGTCACAAAGAGTCAGACATGACTGAGTGGCAAACACACTTTCACTATACAGCTATAAAAAAGCAAACAATGATATATGCAACAACACAGATGGATCTTCAAAAAGTTTTCTGAGTAAAAGGAGCCAGGCACGAAACAGTACATGTTCTATCACTCCATTATATCTAATCCTTAAGGACAGAAGGCACTGTCCTTCAGTGGTTTCTGGGAACTGGAAGTAGACTGGGAAATCAACCATAAAGAGACACAAGAGATGCTTTTCAATGATGAAAGTGTCCTGTATCTTTCTTGTATGTACACCTGTCAAAATTCATTGAACTTAAGATGGGTACATTTTATTATATCAAACCAGTAACATTGATTTAAACAAAACAGAACTTGATTTTTTTTATATGTAAAAGGTCACTCATGACACATTACTTACTCTGAAGATCTGTCAACTGACAGGACAGGTCACTTGAGGAGTGCATGAAGTCTTCTTCTCCCCTTTTGTATTGCTCTATGGTGTCCTTTAGGTATGCAATATACTGGAAAGTAAAGGTGTGTGGTTGCTTTTAGCTGTTGAATTATAGTAGGTTAGTTATCTGTGCAGTCACTTAGCAAACATTTATTGATCCTCTGTGTGTCCCACCATTCTAGCTGCAAAGGTGACAGTGGTCAATATAGCCCTTGCTAAGTTAACATTCTGGTGAGGGAAAGAAAGGACTTTGCTTCCTAGTAAGCATTTCAACTTCACCCAAATAAACATGATATTCTAAATTTGCCACAAAAATGAACCAAAAAGTATGCTGCCTAAATGCACCGTATCCACAGAAAAAAAAATTATCCTTTTTGCAAAATGTGTTGCTACAAGGCAGCAATGTTGCCTCACTGGAGGTATTCACAGGACCTCAGAGAGATGAATTATCAAGTCAGGAGACCCTGTGGAATTGCTCACTCTAGTTGGATGTTTCGTTGGGTTGGGTGGCAGTGACAGCAGTGGTCTGGGTATCAGAGACATGGCTTTCTGTTCTAACTACCCAGTGCTCAGGAACCTAAAGTCTGGGAACTCTGAAAATGTGGGCTTCGGGATATAAAGTAGGCACTGGCCCTGTTCCAAGAGAGAAATTGTCAAACATTAGAAACTGCTGATAAAAATCTTAGAAATGGTCCCAGTGCCCGAGGAGCAGACATGGACCTGCTCCATAGGACTGTTCATCAGCATGTGCTAGAGGGGCTCTCCTGCAGCCTTGACCCTGTGTCAGTCTTTGCACAGCTTGTTGGCAGGTTTCGTAGTAAATCTAAGTGAAAGCTACCATAAGCCAAATCCGTGTCATCATTCTTGCTCTCTTTGAACATGGATCACTGTTTATAGACTTGTCTAGTTCAGGCGGCTTCCTGTAACTCTCTATTAGTCCCCTTTTCGGTATTTTAGTCCCCATTTTGGTCTCCACTTCTACTGTGTCCTCTTTCAAAATTGTCTTTCTTCCGAACTCTGTTCACACTTCACTGTTCTCATTAACTGTCCTCAAAGAATCTATCTCCCAGGTATAAATACTATCTCTATGCTAATGGCACCAGGTCAGATTTTTTCCTGGAGCTCCTCACCTGGTGTGATTAAATGCTCGTGCTCTGGGTGACTATGTATATGTGCCCTGGGTGGATTGTCACACTTAACAACCAAATTGTAATTATACATTTGTATACCTGTCTCCCAAGCCAGACTGTGAGCTTTCTAAGGGTTTGGGACTGTGTCTTACCCATAATTGTGTTCACTGTTTCTTCCCTAGAACTTGGGACTCAGTGATGCTTAAAATGTTTGTTGAATGAAGGGATGAGATCATCAAAACAAAGAGTGATGAATGAATAAGATATAAGCATAGGGTCATCCAGCGCCTAGTAGATGGACCTTGAATCCAGCGCAGAACTTTTAGAATCAATGTTTCACATAAGTCATCCATTTGCTCACCCATTACCAAAATAGCAATGAAAATTCCAACTAAATAAATAATCTACCTCATCTTGATAGGAAGGCAGTCTTGTGGAATATTTCATAGGTGGATGAAATTCCTTACGAGGTTGTTTCAAGGCTAGAAGGATGAAGATGTTGTATGTGTGTGGGTTACTGCCAAAGGTACCTGGGCTCCGTGGAGCACTCTACCTTTTCAAAGTAGACTCATATCTCTTATGTCATTTAATTATACCAAAAAACACATGATATTAGATAGATAATTGTTGCCATTTAGAGTAAAGTCACACTACAGGGTTACTACTGAGTGACAGACTCAAATAAGTAAATCTTGAGTATAAATAAGCAAAACTTAATCTTTTGAGACTGAGATTTTCATTTTAGGGGTTGGATGAACAAATTCCTTTGCTATAAAAAGAACTACAATCAATATGAAATAATCTAACTTCTAAAACGGGCACGAGACTGAACAGATACTTCACAAAGAGGGTCTCCAAGTAGTGAAAAACATACGAATCATTTCCTGAATCATCAGGAAAATGCAAATTAAAACCACAGTGGATCACCTCTACACACCCTCCAGAATGATCAAGTTGAAAAAGGCTGAGTTTTGCTTAGAATCAGGAATAACTACACTCTCTGACACTACAGAAGGGAGTGCAGTTAGTGTCATGTCCTTGGGAGACTGCCACTGTGCACTAAGGCAGATGATAAGCCCCTCTATGACTCTAGGATTCCACTTGAGCTGTTTACCCAAAAGAAATATGTAACTACATTCATCAAAATACATGTAATAGAATTTTCATGGTAGTAGTCCCAATTAGAGACTCGCCAAACCCCCACCAACAGCAGAGTGTATAAACTATAGTATAGGCATACAATGGAATACAATACATACAAACAGTACAATACAATACAGAACTAAGAATGAATGAACCGTAACTTCACTCAATAATAAGAAGAAACTGGGAAACATAATTTCTGGCAAAAGAATGTGTACTGTATCATTCCATTCATATAATGTTCAAAAACAGGCAGAAGTCTATAGTGTTAAAAGTCAGTATAGCATATTGTGGGAGAGTATAGTATATGATATAGTATATTGTGGGAAGGTCAATGACAGGAAGGCCCACAGAAGACATAGAAGACAGTATCTGGATTCTGTCGATGGATGCTTTGTTTCTTGATCTAGGTGTTGGTTATTCAGCGTGTTCATTAAGCTGTGTATGATTTGGGCACTTCTCTCTGTGTACTTTAAGTTTCAGTTTGAAAGTTTCGAGAGTTATTCTCTCCTTTTCTCTCATAACTAGTACAGATATGGAAATCAACCATGACCATTGTACAAAGTAAAGTGCTCTTGAACTTACCTCTTTTAATCTTTCATTTTCCAGGATCAAAGCGTCTGTTTTTAGGTCATGTAAATAGATTTCATTTTCTAAGCTTTTTACAGTTTCAAAATGAGCTTTGGTTTTATAGCTTTCGTGCTCTCTTAACTGTTTCAACTCCTGCTTCAGATTCTTCTGCTCAAACATAAAATCCACAATTACCTTATAGAGTTCAACTAGCAGGGCACCAGTGTATTAAGTTGCCTGCACCACATTCAGAGAAGGGTTCTAATTACAGCTGACCCTTGAACAATGCGGGAGTGAGCGGCACCAACCCCTGCCCAGTCAAAAGTCTGGGTGTAACTTTACAGTTGGTACTCTATTACCAGTTTCACATCTCCTGATTGAACCAACCACAGACCGTATAGAGCATTCATTGAAAAAAATAATTCACAAATATATGGACACATGCAATTCAAACCTATATTGCTAAAGGGCTGACTATAATTCCATGACCATCAGCAGAGGCTATGAACATCTTCCCTTGGAAAACTTTATATTAACTACAAAGCGAATGGACTCTGGGAAGGAAGTCTACAGATCCCAAGTTAAGAGCCAAAGTCAAGCTATTGAGGCAATTTCACAAAATAGAATATATCTTGATATATAAACAATGGCCTGGCAAAATGGGGAAGAAGGGAGTAGAATTTATTGAGGCTCTTTCAGGGAGGATTTGATATTTGCTATTTCTCAAAGAATATTACTTTATGGATTTTTCTGAATTCTCCAGTCAGTTTTAAATTATTACACTGTTATAAATCACATAATCTTTGTATATTGTATAACTGCCCCTAGCAGCATCCTATTAGGAAAATAGAATTATATATATAATATGTTGTTCTGTTGGTTGTTTAGTCACTAAGTGGTGTCTGACTTTTTTGCAATCCCATGGACTGTGGCCCACCAGGCTCCTCTGTCCATGGAATTTGCCACGCCATATACTGGAGTGGTTTGCCATTTCCTTCTGCAGGGGATCTTCCCAACCCAGGGATTGAACCCGAATCTCCTGTGTCTCCTGCATTGGCAGGCAGATTCTTTACCACTGAGCCAATGGACAAACTTATATATATAGTATACTTGTAATTTTCCCCTTCATATTTTTCTATTTCCATAACACATTAAAAATTACTTTTGATATCAGTGAATCTCAAAGAATACATTTTATGTTTAATCAACTCCATATACATATGTTTATCACTAACTATTGATTATAAAGTGTTAAAAGGTAGTAAACATCCATTTACCTGCTCCTGTTTCATTCATTCTTCTAATCCCTACAACCTGTGCCCATTATCCTTGTCTTCATAGGAATTTACCAGAATAACAGATATGAAAAGAAGCTTAGAAAGCATAATCCAATCTCTACTTTTTAAATAGGGCTTCCCAGGTGCTCAGTGACAAAGAATCTGCCTGCAATGCAGGAGACACAGGAGATGTGTGTTCAATCCCTGGGTCAGGAAGATCCCCTGGAGAAGGGCATGGCAACCCACTCTAGTATTCTTTCTGGAGAATCTCCATGAACAGAGGAGCCTGGCAGGCTACAGTCCTTGGGTCACAAAATTGTCAGACACAACTACTGCAATTTAGCATGCATGGCACCTTTTAAGTAAGGAAAATGAACCCTCCCCCAGTGAGTGATTTTCCAGTGGTAACAGGTTACACGTTAATCGCTTCTAAAGCTGATCTCTCTCCCTTGACACATACACATGTGTATATATGTATACATATATATATATTATATATATATATATATATATCTCCAGCAGAGGCATGGGTAGGCAATGGCCTGCTTCAGGGTCGGGGACACTGAGTGCGGCAGTGTGTGCACAGGATCTTTTGAACTTCACTACCATTAACTTCACTACCTCTGCCATTGGTCTCAGGTCAAACAACAGGGAGGGAACACAGTTCCACCTATCAACAGAAAATTGGATTAAAGTTGTACTGAGCATGGCCCCAAACATCAGAATAAGACCGAGTTTCATCCACAGTCTTTCCCATCAGGAAGCCTCTTATCCTTATTCTTCAGAGGGCAGACAGAATGAAAACCACAGTCACAGAAAGCTAATCAAACTGATCACATGGACCACGCCTTCTCTAACTCAATAAAACTGAGTCATGCCGTGTAGGGCCACCCAAGATGGATGGGTCATGGTGGAGAGTACTGACAAAATGTGGTCCACCAGAGAAGGCAATGGCAAACTACAATATTCTTGCTCTGAGAACTCCATGAACAGTATGAAAAGGCAAAAAGATATGACACTGAAAGATGAACTCTCCAGGTTGGTAGGTGCCCAATATGCTACTGCAGAAGAGTGGAGAAATAACTCCAGAAAGAATGAAGAGATGGAGCCAAAGTGAAAACAATGCCCAGCTGTAGATATGACTGGTGATGGCAGTAAAGTCCAAAGTTGTAAAGAATAATATTGCATAGGAACCTGGAATATTAGGTCCATGAATCACGGTAAATTGGAAGTGGTCAAACAGGAGATGGCCAGAGTGAATGTAGACATTTTAGGAATCAGTGAACTGGCTCATTGGAAAAGACCTTGATCCTGGGAAAGATTGAAAGCAGGAGAAGAAGGAGACGACAGAGGATGAGATGGTTGGATGGCATTACCAACTCAATGGACATGAGTTTGAACAGGCTCTGGGAGTTGGTGATGGACAGGGAAGCCTGGCGTGCTGCCATCCAAGGGGTCACAAAGAGATGGACATGACTGAGTGACTGAACTGAACTGAACTAAAATGGACTGGAATGGGTGAATTTAATTCAGATGACCATTGTATCTACTACTGTGGACAAGAACACCTTAGAAGAAATGGAGTGGCATCATAGTCAACAAAAAAAGTCTGAAATGCAGTACTTGGGTGCATTCTCAAAAATGACAGAATGATCTCTGTCTGTTTCCAAGGCATACCATTCAATATCACAGTAAGCCAAGTCTATGCCCTAACCAGTAATGCTGAAAAAGCTGAAGCTGAACTGTTCTTTGAAGACCTACAAGACCTTCTGGAATTAACAGCCAAAAAAGATGTCCTTTTTATCATAGGAGACTGGAATGCAAAAGAAGGAAGTCAAGAGATACCTGGAGTAACAGGCAAATTTGGCCTTGGAATACGGAATGGAGGGCAAAGGCTAACAGAGTTTGACCAAGCGAACACACTGGTCATAGCAAACACCCTCTTCCAACAACACAAGAGAAGACTCTACACGTGGACATCATGAGGTGGTCAATACTGAAATCAGGTTGATTATATTCTTTGCAGCCAAAGATGGAGAAGTTCAATACAGTCAGCAAAAACAAGATGGGGAGCTGACTGTGGCTCAGATCATGAACTCCTTATTGCCAAATTCAGACTGAAATTGAAGAAAGTAGGGAAAACCACTAGACCATTCAGGTATGACCTAAATCAAATCCCTTATGATTATACAGTGGTAATAAGAGATTCAAGGGATTAGATCTGATAGACAGAGTGCCTGAAGAGCTATGGACGGAGGTTCGTGACATTGTACAGGAAGCAGTGATCAAGACCATCCCCAAGAAAAAGAAATGCAAAAATGGCAAAGTGGTTGTCTGAGGAGGACTTACAAATAGCTGAGAAAAGAAGAGAAGTGAAAGGCAAAGGAGAAAAGGAAAGCTATACCCATTTGAATGTAGAGTTCTAAAGCATAGCAAGGAGAGATAAGAAAGCCTTCCTCAGCAATCAATGCAAAGAAATAGAGGAAAACAATAGAATGGGAAAGACTAGAGATCTTTTAAAGAAAATCAGAGATGTCAAGGGAACATTTCATGCAAAGATGGGCACAATAAAGAACAGAAATGGTATGGACCTAACAGAAGCAGAAGATATTAAGAAGAGGTGGCAAGAATACACAGAAGAACTGTACAAAAAAGATCTTCATGACCCAGATAATCACGATGGTGTGATCACTCACCTAGAGCCAGACATCCTGGAATGTGAAGTCAAGTGGGCCTTAGGAAGCATCACTATGAACAAAGCTAGTGGAGGTGATGGAATTCCAGTTGAGCTATTTCAAATCCTGAAAGATGATGCTGTGAAAGTGCTGCACTCAATATGCCAGCAAATTTGGAAAACTCAGCAGTGGCCACAGGACTGGAAAAGGTCAGTTTTCATTCCAATCCCAAAGAAAGGCAATGCCAAAGAATGCTCAAACTACCGCACAATTGCACTCATCTCACACGCTAGTAAAGTAATGCTCAAAATTCTCCAAGCCAGGCTTCAGCAATACGTGAACCGTGAACTTCCAGATGTTCAAGCTGGTTTTAGAAAAGGCAGAGGAACCAGAGATCAAATTGCCAACATCCGCTGGATCATCGAAAAAGCAAGAGAGTTCCAGAAAAACATCTATTTCTGCTTTATTGACTATGCCAAAGCCTTTGACTGTGTGGATCACAATAAACTGTGGAAAATTCTGAAAGAGATGGGAATACCAGACCACCTGACCTGCCTCTTGAGAAACCTGTATGCAGGTCAGGAAGCAACAGTTAGAACTGGACATGGAACAACAGACTGGTTCCAAATAGGAAAAGGAGTACGTCAAGGCTGTATATTGTCACCCTGCTTATTTAACTTATATGCAGAGTACATCATGAGAAATGCTGGGCTGGATGAAGCACAAGCTGGAATCAAGATTGCTGGGAGAAATATCAATAACCTCAGATATGCAGATGACACCACCTTTATGGCACAAAGTGAAGAAGAACTAAAGAGTCTCTTGATGAAAGTGAAAGAAGAGAGTGAAAAAGTTGGCTTAAAACTCAACATTCAGAAAACTGAGATCATGGCATCCGGTCCCATCACTTCATGGCAAATAGATGGGGAAACAGTGACAGACTTAATTTTTTGGGGGGGGGGGGCTCCAAAATCACTGCAGATGGTGACTGCAGCCATGAAATTAAGGGACGTTTCCTCCTTGTAAGAAAAGTTATGATCAACCTAGACAGCATATTAAAAAGTGGAGACGTTACTTTGCTAACAAAGTTTTATCTAGTCAAAGCTATGGTTTTTCCAGTAGTCGTGTCTGGATGTGAGAGTTGGACTATAAAGAAAGCTGAGCGCCAAAGAAATGATGATTTTGAAGTGTGGTGTTGGAGAAGACTCTTGAGAGTCCCTTGGACTGCAAGGAGATCAAAACAAGTCAATCCTAAAGGAAATCATGCTTGAACATTCATTGGAAGGACTGAAGCTGAAGCTGAAACTCCAATACTTTGGCCACTTGATGCGAAGAACTGACTCACTGGAAAAGACCCTGAGGCTGGGAAAGATTGAAGGCAGGAGGAGAAGGGGACGACAGAGGGTGAGATCACTGGATGGCATCACTGACTAGATGGACATGAGTTTGAGCAGGCTTTGGGAGTTGGTAATGGACAGGGAAGCTTGATGCGCTGCAGTCCATTGGGTCACAAACAGTCGGACTCCACTGAGCTACTGAACTGAACTGAACTGAACATATATATATATATATATATATACACACACACGTGTGTATCTATATACATGTGTGTATGCTATAACTAAAAATTTCAAAACATTGGTTTAATAGGGTAAGTTTAAACAATGTGACTTTCTTTAAAACTCTAGTGGTGCTAGGTAAATGCTATTGTCTATATATACCAATATTCTAATAAAAGAAAAAAAGAATGAATATATTGATCCTTTACCGTGTTGTTAATGTATCTTATAAAGTCTCTTGTAAGTTGAGAAATATTATTATTCAGTAAATTTTGTTCATTTTTTTGTGCTATAAAAAAAGAGAGAGAAAAATAACTACTCACAATGTTCTTTAAATAAAAGAAAATAAGACATATGCCTGGTTTTAAAAGTCAAATACTATTTTAAGGCTTATGACCAAAATCAGAAGTCAGGTGCTCCCCAATGCTGCTTCCATCCCTGTGTTTGACGCTTCAGAATCAAACATTTTTAACTCATTTTTACTTTTTCCTCTTCCTTTAAAATTTTCTTTCTGAAAAATTTTTTCTTTATAAAATTTTTTTCCTTTTCTCTCTTAAATTTTTTCCTACTTACTTCCTGAATTAGTAGAAGAGGACATAGACACTCCTATCGTCACATCTCCTGTGAACTCAGAGCCTCCATGTTTCCTTCCTCTCACCTCCTCGTTAATTACAGATTTTGTTTAAATGAATTCCAACTGTTCAGATCATTATGATAATGCAAAGTTTATTCATGATTAGACAAATGGTACAGTAGGACTATATTTCTTTTCTTGTATAGTTTTTGTTTGTTTTTCCTGGAGTTAAAAATTATCTCACTTAAAAAGAAATTTGCTTAGTTTTCCATGTATGTATCATTAATTCACACCAAAATCTATAATAGAATTATAAAATCTTCCTGAAAATTACTTCCCATGTGGTCAAACATGTTAGGTGGTCCATCAGTTCCATTCTTCTGCCCTCCCCCACTGTCTTCTGTACATTTTTCTTTAGTCCTACTGCAAAGCTGACCTCCTGGGACTTCCCCTTGCATCTCTCTCATGTTAGACCTCCTGCTTTTTGTATCTCATACCCTCTTCTTTCTCTTATTTCTTCTATTTGTTGAAGCAAATTTTGTGTAGCTTCCTGAGACACAATAGATGAGATCTTATATATCTAAATATATCTCTATTCACATCTCTAGTTGACTGATAGTTTGGATGGGTATCTAATGTAGGAAATTTTTCTCTCTCAAAATTTTGAAGGCAAAGTCTTCTAAATTCTACTGTTACATTGATGCTAAGAAGTCTGAAACAATGCTGGTACCTAATCTTTTGTGTAAAATCTGCTTTTTCTCTCTAGAAGTCTTTATAATCTTCTCTCTCTCTTTTTTTTTCTCCTGAAATCCAGTGATGTGGCTTAGTTACTGTCTTTTCTTTCATATATTGTACTGGGAATCTGATAGGCCCTTTCAAATAGGAAATTCATATTGTCCAATTCTGAGAAATATTTTTGTAATATTTTATTGATAACTTTATAACTTTAGTATATACTTTATAGTATGTACTTTATAGTATAAACTTTATAACTTTAAAGTATAACTTTATATTTTCCATTTTTGTCTGTCTTTCCTGTTAGTTAGATATTTGCCATCTCAGAATAGTTTTATAATTTCCTTACCCTTTATTATCCTGTTATATCCTTGTTTTTTTTCTATTTTTGGAGAAATCCTCTTAACTTTTTAAAATCCTCTCGTTGAATTCTAAGATTTTAGTTGTTATATTTTTTAATTCTACTAACTCTTTCATGTTCTCTATTCTTTCAAGCATCTTATTTTTTTCATAAATGCAATATCTAATTTTATTTCTCCAAGAATACATCTTTAAGATGGATTCTCTATAATAGAATATATTTCTCTGCAATAAATAGAGAATATATATGCATTATATATAATAATATAGAGAGAATATGTACTCCCTGAGAATCCATATTATGTTCTTTGTGTTGTCCATTTTTCTACCAAATTCTCTTTTTCTGTCTGCTTTCGTTTCTTTCATTCATGTTGGAGTTTTTCCTGAAATGTCTGCTGATTTTTGACTATCTAACCCTATTTATGAGTGAGGGACTAAAAGGTTGAGTTGGTACTGCCTGAAGCACATTGCTCTTATGTCCCCTTTCCTTCTTTTCTCCTGCCTTCTCCTCTTCTCCTTTCTTCAGTGTTTCACCCCTTTGCTTTGACTGAAGAGAATCAGTCCTGCAATATATACTGCAATATATTGCTTACTTTTATACTCATAGTGTTTCTTATATCCTCCACCCAGTGCAAGAAGGGATGGAGGAAAGTTGGAGAAGTAGATATCTGGCAACAGAATATATACACATTGTAAGTCTTGGTAAAAGTGGTAAAAGATGAAGAAAACTTAACTGGGTTAACCAAATGAAAACCTGGCAAAAGTGGAAACCAACTGAGGACTGGGAACCAGACCAATTACCGAAGCACTTATTCTTAATCTTATATTCTTAAAAAATCTACCCTCTTTGACAGTTACTACTATTCACTTTGAATATCTATTTCACATTTCAGCACATGGGCTTCCATGTGACTGCCCTGTTTTGACACACCGTTTTAATTCCTATCCCCATAGTCCATCTGCCAGCTGGTCAGTAACACCACCACGCTGCACATTTTTTACTCCCATTCCAGTACTTTCTGTAATTTTGGTCCTGGCCTCCTGATTCCAATGGCATTTCTTCTATCATCTAGAAGATAGAAATGCTGGAAGTTGTCCTGCTTAAGAACCTAAATTCTTGGATAATGACCCTTCACTCCCCAGATTCAAGACAAGAGTCACACCTCTAGGATGGTTCTAGATCTGTGAACTTTTGGGTTCAGGTTTAGATGACCACAGCCAACGTTTTGGAGAGAATAATTGTTTTTTATATTAAACACACACATGGTTGTGCCATGCACTAAAACACAAAACATGCTTTCAGACATATTTCATATCCTTATGAAGCCCCCAGATCTGAGACAAGTTCTTATCTATCTCTGCCTTAGGGTTAGATTAGCGAAAAAAATTTAAGGAGTACCTACTTGATAAATGGTTAAAGTCATATCTGGAAAAAGATATAATTTGTAAACTTAACATTAAGAAACAAAAAATTTTCCACATGGTAGAAGGTAAAGAAATTGGTTCGACCTTTACCAAGTACAGACAGAAACTATACAATATAGTTGTTACTAATTCTTAGTTTTAAACAGTCTTTAAAAGAGAAGAAGAAAAATTTGACAAGAATTAACAGTAAGATTGTGGTGCAGAGAAGAGGAAACTAGAAGAGGCAAAAACTAGAGAATGGAGAATTAAAGATAATGGAAAAAGCTTGAGAGAATTTCACTATTGACTTGTGATGAATGACCCACCTTGTGTTAGCAGACAACAGAGAAATCCGTACCTGGGCTTGAAGTCAATTACTAAGTACTTCATTCATATCTACCTGTAACAGTTTCAATGAGATTTTCAAATTTTCTGTTTTTGTATGTGAATTCTTCTTCTGCCACCTGAAGCTGTGGAAGACACTCGACTAACTCAACTTCCTTTTCTTTGCTAATTTGTGCTTCTTCAGTGAATCTTTGCTTGAAAGACAGAAAGCTGATTGTGAGGTATGATTAAGGAGAATTCACACAATATTCTAGAGTAGAAGGTAAGTTCATTGATGCAGTAAATTCTGTCTTGGACACCTCTTATCCTAAGTTGCATAGAAAGATATCTGGCACACTAGATATTTAATAAGTATTTGTTGGCTGACTCACTGACTCTCTGGCAATCTATAATGTTAGGAAATTAAATTCGCTGGGCTCTCCAAAGATCCTTTCGGTTCTATAGCTTGACTGCTATGGTTCTATTGCTGTTACCTTATATGTGCCCTGAGATATACTTGAAAAACTTTCTTTCAGTTGATCATACATTATGAAACTTGGAGGAAGGAATGGCAACCCACTCCAGTATTCTTGCCTGGAGAATCCCATGGACAGAGAAGCCTGGGGTGCTACAATCCATGGGGTCGCAAAGAATCAGACACAACTGAGTGACTAAGCACAAGCCCAGTAAAACAAAATATATGCCAGCTCTAAGATATGTGGATGTAAGTAAGAAATGGGGAGGGGGTAGAAATAAATGGATATAATACTACAATAAATGGGTTAAAAGTGCCCAAAGCAAAACATGAAAATGCCTGCTTACTTATTCAAACTCAGGTTTTATTTATTTTCAAATGGAATATAGTTGAGTCTCTCTTAGAAAGTCAGGGTGGACTTAAAACTAATGACTAAGGCAAAGACAGCCAGCTGACATGTACTATACACTCTCCTGTCCAATAGCATCAGGACACCTGAGTTTTAGCCGAGCAGATGGCTGCCAACAAGAGTGATTTCTCAGCTTCCCTACTGAGTGTGTTTGTGAGCAGAAGTGGGGTATGCCAGTTCTGGGTCCTGCCCCTAAAACAGGAAGAAGTCCATGCCTCCTGGGTCCTTCCTCTTGCCCCTTGCTGGAAAAGGGTTAGAATGGAGGCTGACACTTGGACCCGCAGAAGTTAGCCTCCTGCCGAGGATGGCAGAGCGGCCTTTCCAGCCCTCAACTCCCTCCCTTTCAGCCTGTACCAGGGAAGAAAAATAAAAATATCTCTTCTGTAATGATCACGTCAGGGCTTCTTAACTAGATACTAAGACTCTAAAGATTTAAACAGGCCACACCTGACCCAGTTTACTTTTATTTTTTATTTTTATCTAAGTTGAACACACACATAATTTAAAAGAAACCTAAATGCCAGCAACATCAGGCCTGTCTCCCTAACGGGAGGTGCCCTTTCAACACAGCCAACCAGAAGCTAATGTCCATTGACCCCACCAAGGTGATAACTCAGCCCAAGAGAAAGAGTCCCGCAGAGGTGGATGTGAAGTCCTCCCTGTCTTAGAAGCCTCATATTCAAATTGGAGCCAATATCTCTTGGGCATACCTCCCGAGTCCATACCAGGGACATGCCCTTTTAAAAGAGGCACCAAATTCAGGAAAGCCCAGTGTTCTGGTTTCCCATTAGTTATTCTCCTGGTCAAGATGCAGCACACCAGTAAAGTTTTGTTCTGCACAAGCAGTGTTGCCTGATAATACCACTGATAATCCATCTTTATCAGGTTACCAAGGGAAGGAGCCAGAAAATTAAGCTAAAATCAATTTCCCAATAAAAGACAGAGGATTGTTAACCCTTCAGTGCACATCTTGCTTATGTTCACTGTATTTTGGCCTCTTTTTGATAGAGTACCTTGCTTGCCCTAATTAAAATAATATAGTGATTTAATGGCCAGATAGGTCATAGGACCAGATAGGTCCAGACTGTCATTAGAATCCTTATGAATAACATAGAAAGACAAAAACAACATAAAACACCATAATATAAAATTATTACAATGTAGAAGTAGGAGTAAATTTCTCCAGACTGCACTGTTCAGAAACTCAATCATGTATTACCTATACTAAGCTCTCTAAAAAAAGAATGGCCTAACAATGGCTGCCTTCCTCACACAAGGAAGTGTGTGCATACTTAATTCATTCCCATTGCCTGCACAAGGGTTAGGCTGCTAGCACCACCCTAACAAGAAACCATGTTCTTGTTTTACGCTTGGAGAAAGGACTGGGTACCAGGTGCTGCTGCAGCTGAAGCAAGGGCGGTTTGCCTGCTGGCTCGGCTTCTTGGAGGTGGGCGGCTTCTTCAGGTCATTCAAATTCTCCCTCAGCTTCCCTGTGTCGTGAGCAGTGTGCACATGTAGCCCAGTGATGAAAGACTCACTATGAAAGCTACTGACTTCGCTTTCCCTCCCTGTGAATTTAGGCTCTGTCCATCCAGAGGTCTTACTACTAGTGAGAATGATCCCACCAAGGGTACAATAATACTCCCATAAACCAAAATCTGAGGTTACTGCCTCTCAATTTTGGGCTCCTCATGCCAACTGAACTAAAGGCAGAGATGGGATTCCAATGTGCCTGGGGTTATTGATGATGATTTTCAAGGGGAAAAGGGATTTATAATAGAAGCACCCAGGCTGCCATCTGTCCATGTCTTTGAGTAAATGAGGCACAGGTGGACACAGCCCTGCAGGGGGCACATAGCCTGGCAAACAGACTATCTGCAGTCTTACACTTCTAATTTACTTATTTTGCCTTATTTCATTGTATAAGCTTGAATGCAGTGTTAAATGGTGTCCTCGTCTTACTCCTGATTGTCCTCACTGATTTACCATTAAGTATGATGGGTAAACTTTATCATCTCTGTTTCAAAAATCATCTGAGATGATGACTACCTCTGACCACCCCTCAGTTACCATTCTGAGTCAAGCTACTTAGCATATTGATCTCACTTCCTAATTGGTCTTCCTGTATCCACCACTGCTTTCCTAAATTCTGTTCAATATTGCACCTAGAGTGATCCTATTTAAGTGAAGGCCATATGATTTCAGAATAAATAATCTTCACTCAGAACCTTCCAAAGGCTTCCCAGCCCATGCAGAGCGAAAGACAATGTATTCACGAGGACCTACAATGAGGGGCAGGCCTGGAGTTGCCCCTTTTAGATCTCCCCTCGAGGAAGAACTCACTGACCTGTGGCAAGGGAAGTGGCTGGCTGACAGCCTCCAGGGTGGCTGGCTCCTTCAGAGCGACCTTGGCTATCTAGCCAAGACCGTGCTCTTCAGCGGCCTCCAACTAACTGTGTGAGCAAGGAGATGGTACAAGGGTGAGGCCATTTCCGCCCGCGGCAGGCCTCTTCCTATGGATAATTCTTGCTTTGGAGCTCCCCAGAGAGAGTCTGCCGCCTACGTAGCGGCCCCTGCCTAGTCCTTTCATAGGCATTACACCCTAATAAACATTTGAACTCCTAATTCCATGTCAGCATCTGCTTCTGGAAGATGAGTCCCCGCCCGGCTGGTACTCTCCCTATTCTGCTGCAGCCACGCTGCCTCCCTGTCATCCCTCAAATAGAAAGTCTTGTCTCAGAACCTTCAAGCTCAGCATGTCCTCTGCCTGGAGCCACCTTCTCCAGATGTCTGCACATCACACTTCCTCATATCCTTCAGGGCTGTACCCTTCTCTGACTCCCTGTTTAAAATGGCACATAGACTGCATTATATACACTCACCCTAGTCTACTTTCCTGTTTTTATTTTCTCTATAACATTTATTGCCATTGAAAATATCACATGTTCTACTGTTTATTTTCAATCACCCCCCCCCCCCATTGGATTTTTTCTTAGGGCCAAGGTTTTTTTTTTTTCCCCCCCTCTTTTAAAAATTTCTGTTTTTCAAAATTTAGAAGGATACTGAGCACCCAGACATGCTATGACCAATAATGGAGAAATGCTCTTCACCTTGCTGCTTCTTCCTTCTGTTCCTTCTAATTTTGTATGTGTTTGTGCAATGCTTTCTTTCCCTTGTTTGTTCCCTGAGTTCTGCCAGTTTCCATTTCCCCTCTTGCTATTTCTGGCCATCCCCTTCTGACGTTTCTTCCCTGAGTTCCTGTATTTCCACGCTGCTAGTCTTCCTTGGCACCTCTATGAACTTTTTTCTGAATTCACAGACGAATGTTGAATCATAGTTTTCAACTGTTCCAGAACAATTTTTTGAGTGTTCTTCATTTTATGAAAGTTTCAATCCCCCTCCACCTGTTTTTCTCATAGTATTTTTGTGCAGAAGATTTTTCTGCTTCTAGAATTGACTTTTTCTGGGACCAGTTATCTGCAGAGGGTTTCTGCAGGGCATGGCAGAGTGTGCGTGGCCATGGTGGAGGGCGGAGAGTGGGCTTGGATCAGGGGAAGAGTCTTTCTCTCCAGCATCCATGTCCTATTCTATCCCAGGGCAGCCCCTGGCAGTTTCCAGGCCAGTACCATGCCCTCTCTTTAAGGAGAACCTCTGAGACTGGCCTTCTAGGTCTCCCTCACCCTTCACTCCTCTCCTCCACTGTCTCCTCTTTCAGCTCTGCATGATTTTCCCCAGCACTCCACCTTATCTCCATGGATTTTTGCCAGCACTTCTACATAACTTGGAGTGTGTGATATTCTTTTAACTAAAAAAATATTTCTTGTTGCTCTATTTCTTTTTTAGGAAAAGAAGAAATATTCAGAATTTAATTGTAGTCTTGTTCAAACTAGAAGATTTACTTTACATTTAGTTGAATAGTTGGGGAGATCCCCTGGAGAAGGGAAAGGCTACCCACTCCAGTATTCTGGCCTGGAGAATTCCATGGACTGTATAGTCCATAGGGCCGCAAAGAGTCAGACACAACTGAGCGACTTTCACTTTCACTAACTTAATAGCATGAAATATACCCTCCCCTTCATACAGCCACAAAAAATTGTTCTTAGATATAAAATAAAACTTACTTCAAACTTGCTTAATTCTTGAATTAACTTTTGTTCTTTGATAACAAATTCATCCTCCTCTTGTTTTAATTCTAATGTAAGTTGTTCAATCTGTGCCACAAACTCATTGATATCGTGTTGTCTAATACTGGTCTAATTAGGGGAAAAATGAGAATTTATCATCTGTCTTGTAGCAGTCAGTATTCTATTTTCAAACAGTCAGATAAATCAATAGCTTTCTGCATCACATTTGGCTAATTTGTCTCAGTAACTACTGGGGAGGGGGGGGATGTTTTTTCCCTTCAGAGATTAATTTCTTCACCAAACAACATGTGTAAATGACATTAGGAAATTGGGCATGGAACTAGTAGGGGCTGGAGGGTAGGCAGAGGATAAATATAGGAGCTAAATAAATGATGTTTAGTCCCTTTATTTTTAGAGATAGTTTCCCTAAACACTGTCCTCAAGTTTTAGTTACATACTTCAAAATCATATTCTGGAGAAAATTGCTACTTGGCTAAATTCCTACAATTAATACATAGCAAATGGATACATTTCTTAAGAAAGTTACATAATTTACTCTAGACATGAAATCAGCAATAAGGTAAAGCATAATGAAATACTGAAGAATTACTGATATGCAATCAATAAAGAGAGTGGACACAAGCTCCTTGGATTCCTTTACCTCTTCTATTAATTCATTGCGCCTATTTTCAGCTTCTTGAATTTTATCTATAAGTTCTTTTATTTCATCTTTTATATTTTTGATCCAACGCGCATGTTTTTTTCGCAAACAAGCTATTTTCCACTGAGCTATAATACTGGAGATGAGAACAAAAAGAATTATCGTCAAATTGACATCACAGTTCATTGAAAAAATGAAGGAATTCAATGCAAAACAAATAGTATTATGATCATACAAAATTATCTGTGCTATTGATGATGCAGACTAGGCACATTAGCTGAAAAAATAAGACAAAACATTAACTGCCCAAATGGCATCTCTGCAAGCTGCTTCACATGAAGTTGTGTCAGTACATTCACCAGGGCGGTCGACAAACCACACTTGATAGCTTACCTCCTCTATAAAAGGATAGAAATGGGGAAGGCTCAGGAGTTGGTGAAAAAAGAGCAGTCCCAGACAGAAATGGTAAAGGAATTACCTAAATTACTCAAAGTGCTAGTAAGAAGTCTCAAGCTCCTGAATTCTCAAATTTTTCTCTCCATCATAACATAAAAAAGATAACTAGAGAAGAGTAAAAATGTGCAACTAGAGTCTTATAAATAGTATAATAACAATGACAACAACAATAAAATATACCTAAGTTTCTGCAGGTGTTTAAGTTTCTAGGTGCTGGGCACTGGGCTATACACTTCGCATATATCATCTCATTTATCACTCATGCAATCTTACAAGGTGGGTACTACTATTATTCCTCACTTTATAGGGATGGGAACAGAGAGATATTAAATAACTCAGCCCTGGTCATAGAGCTAACAAGAGGCAAAACAACCAAAGTAGTTCATCTGCTGAGACTGTGTGCTTAACCACTCTCCTCTGTCCCTTCACATCACTTTCCTTACTGGTCCACATAGGCCACCTGGATGAGTAAGACTCATTGTCACAAATCTTGACAATTATATTCTGGTGACTTTGCATGATTGGAATGAAAAACTTTGTTTCTGTTCAATTAACAAAATATCAAACTAACAAACACATCTAGAGCCAAGAGAACTCACACAATTTAATTTTGCGGGAAATAACTTCCATGGACTCTAGCAACCAACAAGCACTCTGATTTCTTCCAACTTTGGGGCACTGTTAATTAAGACAACATACAGTATTTATGATATAAATAAGCTTTTTTTTTTTTTTTTACCATCTCTGAGTTTCTCTTTCCATGTTCTCATTCAGGATTTTTATTTGTTTCCGATATACTTCTTTTGTTGCTCTAAAAATAAGAAAAACATATTGGATTTTGCATTTATGGGAGCTGTTAAATGTATAATAGACTTAATATAATTCTTCACAATAATGCAACCTTATTGTGGTAGCACAATAAGGCTACCATCTAATTGGGAGACAAAACACCAGTACAACTAAAGATTTTAGTGCCAGACTAATGGAAAGACAATTACAATTTTCTGGCCAGTGCAAACTGATTTTGCAAGTTTTGAAGCCAAGAATAAGGAAGAACAGATTTTGGCGAGGCAGTTGAGGACAGGTTATTAGAGAATAATATTTAATAGGGGGAAGAACATGGAGGTGATATCTCACCAAGGAAAAGACATCATCATTTGCAAACACACAGAGGAAAGGAGCAGCTAGTCAGGATGCTTGGGACTAAGGCAAACTTACTGCATACAGAGGACATGAAGGGAAATAACTCTATGACATAGGAAGGGTTTAGGTCAACAAATTGGTGAGGAACTCTGGATTTTAGATTGAGTTCTGATTTGCTGCAATGTATAATTTAGACATTATACACAGGTATAGGGGGCTTCCCTGGTAGCTCAGATGGTAAAGAATCTGCCTGCAATGTGGAGACTCAGGTTCAATCCCTGGGTGGGGGAAGATCCCCCGGAGAAGGAAATGGCAACCCACTCTAGTATTCTTGACTGGGAAATCCCATGGACAGAGGAGCCTGGCGGGCTACAGTGCATGGGATCTCAAAGAGTCCGTCATGACTGAGTGACTATAATTTTCACTTTCTTCCATAACTTAGAAAGCCAATATAGATTCCGGAATTAGTGATAAGTAGTAATTAAGAATGGAAGATGTGCTTGTGGATCTGTGGTGGAGGGGAATGTGGAGACTCTAATGTAGGTATTAGAAGCAGCTTATGTAAAACTCAGCATCTGTCTATCCTTTCATTGAAAGATTGAATGATAATGACCTTTCTGGACTGTAAAACAGAGATAGACAATTATGAACCTCCTTTTCTATAGTATATTTCAAATTTTACAGGCTTATTACCATTTATTAAAAAATAAATGCAGAGGAAAGAAGATTAAAATGTTCAAAGGTAATAAACATACCGATGAAGCTCACCGAGAGTGATAAGTCCTTCTTCCATATTTTTGATGTCTACTTTTCTTTTTGATAGGAAGTTTTCTTTCTGAGCTATAAATGCCAGTTGTTTTTGATTTCTACCATGAAAAAATAGTTATCATACGTTGAACATTGAAATCATTTTTAACTCCTTAGCATAAGAAAATATGCAATCAAAAACAAGAATTCAGAAAGTAGTTTGGAAATTTCAGTTCAGGAACTATTTACCAGATAAATTAGTAAAAAATAGAAACAATGTTTTTTCCTAGTAGTGGCTAGCTCTAAATTTATGAAAATCTTCAAGCCATGAAAAGAACATTAATTGTAATAGTAACCATAAAACCATAAGAATATTTCAATAGCACTTTGCCTTGCTGAGTGGGTGTGTCTCTTTTAATGAATTTATCAATTCTGGTATTTTATTTTGGAAAATGTGAAGGAATCAATCAGACTAACTTTAGATAGTGGTCTATCTCTTCCTAGCAGTGTGACCTTGAAAAGAGACTTCACCTATGGATAAGCTTCAGTTTCGCCATCCATAAAATGGGGACCATAATACCTATCTCACTGGTTATAAGAATTTAAATGAAATGTAAAGTGCTGAAGCCAGTGAGCAGCACCCATGAGAAATTATCTGAAAAGTGATTATTTTTTGTCCCTAACTTACAGCGTGAATAATGGAAAGTTTACGATTTTGTTCAAATTTCCAGACATTGATAGGATGCACATGCCTGTAACAGGAAGTACCTTATCTAAGCGTCTCATCTTCTTCAAAACGTCTATGGACTGAATTGTGCCCTCCTACAAATTCATATATTGAAGCCTTAGGTCCCAGTGAAATGGTATTTGAAGATGGGGTCTTTGGGAAGACATTAGATCTATATGAGGTCATGAGGGTAGAGTCCTCATGGTGAGACTAGTGCCCTCGTAAGCAGAGATACCAGACAGCTCTATCTCTCTATCTCCCTTCTGTGAGGACACAGCAAGAAGATGGTTGACCATCTTCTTCACGCAAGTTAGGAAGGGAGTTCTCACCAGAATCTGGCCATGCTGGCACCCAGATGTCAGATGTCCAGCCTCCAGAACTATGAGAAATAAATTTCTGTCATTTAAATCTCCCCGTCTGTGGTAATTTGTTATGGCAGCCCAAGTTGAAGAGGACAAATACCAATAACAGTAGTAACTGTTTCAGGGCTACAATTATTTGTCCCCAGAACATTTTATGATTCAAACTGATAACTTAGTATTGATCTAAGGAAGTTATTGCCTGAAGAATACTAACTGTATCATTCTTAGTAGGCTATTCAACTGGATAAGATAAAAAGACTGTAGGAACTCTCTGTATCATAAATACTACAACAATGACCATAAATTCAGCTTCACATAAGTGGGCCTGGACACCATAATTACACTTCCATGTGACTTAATTTTAAGTGTAGTAATGGATTATTACTTATATAATTCATTAGGAAAACACTGGTGAATGCCCATTACCTGCTAAGCAATGGAAAAGATCCTAAGGATATAGTGCTAAGATGGAGCAACTGCGCTGATCTGTCATAGCTCAGTGGGATAAAGTGATATGTACCCAGGTGATAACAATGCAATGACTAATGAAAAAGAGTGACCTCAGAGGGATGTTTCATAGGGGCCATTCTGGCGAGAGGGAGATAGATAAGTTAGAGGTGGTAAAACGGAAAGTGGGAAGAACTTCTGAGAGGCAAACCAAAGCAAAGAGGCTAAAAGGGGTGAAAACAGTCGAGTTGGATAGGAGGACAGGATATATTTGAGAAATATTTGGGAGGTGGAACTGACAAACATTGGTGCTTCCTGGTAAAATATAGGAGTTTCCTTGAATACTTTTCCAGTCTCTTGGTTAGGCGATTATGTCAATGACCAGATCTTTTTCTGAGACAGGAAATTTAAGTGCAGAGCCAGTTTCTGATGACAGTAGATCTCACAGTTTCTCTAGGCAGTCTTATGGAGTAAAAATGCAGTTATTCTTCCAAGAATCTGATGTAGAAGTAAAAATAATAGGTTTGGTGTTTATGGATTTGATCTGACCCATATGAGGAAAGCATTATTCAGTATGTATAGAGGCAAATTTGGGGCCTATTTATGGCTGGATAAAGAATATTTCATTGTTGTCAATAGATTTTAAAACTAGGATAAGCTTAAATGGAGAAGCAACCCATAACTATAGTATGTTGAGTCATGTATAGGTCATGGATAGAAACATACTCAGAATAAATTTTCCGTTTCTGCATGAAAACTTTATCCTCTTCATTTAAGACAATCTTATATTGTCTGGAAACTGTTTGAAATTTCTCTTGTAGAGCTTTGTTGTCTAAATGACATTTGTGTAACTTTTCAGCCATCTAGGAAAAAAAAAAGGAATTGAAGTAGAGGATTTGTGTCATGGTTTCTCTGATGGGCAACTCACTAGAGCATATTAACTCCCATATAAGACTATGCCTTAAATGTTGAGTAATTTATTTCCACATCAGATATGTAATTGTACACTTGGGGCCTCAAATATGACAAATGTATAGAAAGGTAATAAACACTGATGAGAAACCATAAAGTAATAATTCATATTGAAATAAGAATTAATAAAGTAGGATCATTCAGCAAGATCTGTATGTCCTTTTCCCAGAAGATAAATTATACCAGGGGGAAAAAAAACATATCATCAGTAGGAACTCTTGCTCAAAACCTCTTTGAATAGATATTATGCTTACCTTTTCTTAAATATTTCTATTCAAGGACAAAAGACAGTAAACATTAATTTTCCGAATGAGGTAAGAACTTGGTGCTTGGATGTCTCTACTGAATGGCTTCAAATGAGGTAAGAAAGTTAGGAAGGAATGGTGGGCTAAGGATCACTGAAATAGCAGGATGAAAGGGATCTAAAAAGTGCTGCAGAATAAGATAATGAGGAATTAGTAGGCCTGATTCTATAAAAAAGCAAAAATCCAGACTGGTAAACCTAGCACTGAAAACTCTTACTCTGATATTGGTGGTTGTAGTTTAGTCACTAAGTCATGTCCACCTTTTGCGACCCCACAGCCTGCAGCCCACCAGGCTCCTCTGTCCACTGAACTTCCCAGGCAAGAATATTGGAGTGGGTTACCATTTCCTTCTCCAGGGGGATCTTCCTGACCCAGGGATTGAACCCACATCTCCTGCATTGCCGGCGGTCTCCAGCACTCAGGCAGATTCTTTATGACCAGGAAAGTCCTTTTACTCTGAGGACATTTATTAATATAGAAGAAATCATTTGGAAACTGAGGTTTTGTTCTCTTACTTGACATGGGGGACAAAAGTAAATACTTAGAGCTCATCCAGGTGTTAAGCCTGATAAAACCTCCCACCACTTTAGTCTGGCATCTCAAAGAGCTTTACTCTCTGAAAAAAAAGTGAATTAAAAGCTAACAAGCATGGTCAGTCACTCACTCATGCAATCCCATGGATAGTAGCCTACAAGGTTACTCATCCATGGAAATCTCCAAGCAAGAATACTGAAGTGGGTAATCATTCCCTTTTTCCAGTAGTCATGTATGGATGTGAGAGTTGGACTATAAAGAAAGCTAAGTGCCTAAGAATTGATGCTTTTGAACTGTGGTATTGGAGAAGACTCTGGACTGCAAGGAAATCAAACTAGTCCATCCTAAAGGAACTCAGTCCTGATTATTCATTGGAAGGGCTGATGTTGAAGCTGAAATTCCAATACTTTGGCCACGTAATGTGAAAAACTGAAGCTCATTGGAAAGCACTCGAGGAAAGATTGAAAGCAGGAGAAGAAGGGGACGACAGAGGATGAGATGGTTGGATGGCATCACTGATTTGATGGACATAAGTTTGAGCAAACCCCAGGAGTTGGTGATGGACAGGGAAACCTGGCATGCTGCAGTCTATGGGGTCACAAAGAGTCAGATACGACTGAGTGACTGAACGGAACTGACCTGAAGCATGGTCAAGCATGACTTCAGGCACCAGGGAACCTAAAGGTGGATTAAGAAAGTTTGGAACTGGTAACGTCCCAGGTATCTGACAAAAGTGAATAAAATCTGTATCTGAGAAATATACTGTCATCCTATACCTCAAATTGTTTCTACAAACGCCTTTTTTGAAGAACACTGTCCAGTTTCCTACCAGGAACAGAAGGAAACAAGACAGCAAAAACAAAAACTGGCAGAAACTATAGATAACAGAAATAGTCCTACAAAAATATCAGACATTGGAAATAGACACTGAAATACAGAAGTACTGTATTTATTATGACCAAAGAAATCCTAGACATGCTTGACAAATATGGCAAGGATTCAGAAGCAATAAAGAGTAACAAAGCAGAGTTGAAAATTTACCAACTCAAAAATACAAAAACCAAATTAAGAATTGAAATGAGACCATTCTCCCCAGAATGCAGCTAAGGGAGACAAAAACTAGAAGCCAGAGAAGAGCAAGTAAGAAACAGAGAGGATATTTTATTATTACACATGATTGTGTACACAGAATTGGAGTAGTGGAAAAAGCACAGGACAAAATAAATACATGAACAGATAACGGCTGAAAATTTTGAAGAACTTATAAAATACAGCAATTCACAGATTTAAGATGTCCAATAAATCCCAAGCAGGATAAACAAAAAGAAAAACCTGGACATATCATAGTGAAATTGAATAATTAAGTCAAAGGGAACAAAAAAGACCTAAGGTAAATGAAAGATATGCTGTATTCATGGACTAGAAACTTCAGTATTGTAAAAGTGCAAAATCCTCCCCAAAGTGATCTACAGATTTCATTCAACCCCAATCAAAATCCAAACAGGTTTCTTGGGCAGCATTCTTTTTGTTTCCATTTGTGCTGAACACATTTTCCCACACCCTCACTTTCAGTCTGAGTGTGTCTTTAGATATGAAGCTAGTCTCTTGTAAGCAGCATATATTGACATTTAAAAAAAAAATCCATCAGCCACTCCATATCTTTGATTGGCATATTTTCCCATTTACCTTTAAAGCAATTATTGATAGATATGTATTTATTGATTTAAATATTGATAAATGTAATATGATAATATGTAAATATTGATATATATTTATTTATTCCTTGGTGGCTCAGTGGTAAAGAATCTTCCTGCCAATGTAGGAGATGTGGTTCGATCCCTGGGTCTAGGTCGGGGAGAACCCCTGGAGAAGGAAATGGCAACCCACTCTAGTATTCTTGCCTGAGAAATCCCAAGGACAGAGAAGTTTGGTGGGCTACACAGTCCATGGAGCTAGAAAAGAGTCAGACACAACTTAGCAGCTAAAACAACAACGTGTACTTATCAATATTTTGTTGATTATTTTCGGTTGTTTTGGTAGTTTTTTGTTCATTCTTCATCTCTTGTTCTCTTCCCTTGTGGTTGGATTACTATCTTTAGTGTAATGTTTAGACTCCTTACTCTCTCTCATGTGCATCTATTACAAGTTTTTTGTCTACGGTTACCATGACATATACACATAGCAGGGCTGTACTGGTGGCTTAGATGGTTCAAGACTCTGCCTGCAATGCAGGAGACTTGAGTTCAGTCCCCGGCTCAGGAAGATCCCCTGGAGAAGGGAATGGTCACCCACTCCAGTATTCTTGCCTGGAGAATTCCTTGGACAGAGGAGTCTGGCAGGCTACAGTCCATGGATCATAAAGAGTCAGACACGACAGCAACCATCACTTTCACTTCATACACATAACAACATTTATATATGTGTGATTAAGTTAACTCATGTATGGATATGAGAGTTGGACTATAAAGAAAGGTGAGCACCAAAGAATTGATGCTTTTGCACTGTGGTGTTGGAGAAGACTCCTGAGAGTCCCTTGGACTGTAAGGAGATCCATCCAGTCCATCTTAAAGGAGATCAGTCCTGGGTGTTCATTGGAAGGACTGATGCTGAAGCTGAAACTCCAGTACTTTGGCCACCTGGTGCAAAGAGTCANAGTCCCTTGGACTGCAAGGAGATCCAACCAGTCCATCCTAAAGGAGATCAGTCCTGGGTGTTCATTGGAAGGACTGATGTTGAAGCTGAAACTCCAATACTTTGGCCACCTGATGCGAAGAGCTGACTCATTGGAAAAGACCCTGATGCTGGGAAAGATTGAGGGCAGGAGGAGAAAGGGATGGCAGAGGATGAGATGGTTGGATGGCATCACCAACTCAATGGATGTGAGTTTGTGTAGGCTCCGGGAGTTGGGGATGGACAGGGAGTCCTGGCATGCTGCAGTTCATGGGGTCGCAGAGAGTCGGACACAACTGAGGGACTGAACTGAACTGAACTGAAGTTAATGATCTTAAGTTTGAACACATTCTAACAACTCTGCATTTTTACTACCCCTATACATTTAATATTTTTGACATCATACTGTCCATTTTTTGTTTTTTGTATAACTTAACTACTTATTATGGATAGACAATTTTACTGCATTTATATTTTGAGCTTCCCACTGGCTTTCTAAGTGGCTGACCTTTACTGTATGCTTGCTTTTACCAGTGGAATTTTTCCTTTCATGATTTTCATATTTCTGGCTATGGCCTTTTCTATTTAGAGAGGCCCCTTTAACATCTCTTGTAAAGTAGGTTTAGTACTGCTGAACTCTCAGCTTTCAGTTATCTATAAAACTCTTCATCTTTCACTAAAATCTGAATGACAGCCTTGTCAGGTAGAGAATTGGGTGTAGGTTTTATCCTTTCATCACTTTAAATTCATCATGCCACTTTTTTTCTGGCCTGGAAAGCTTCTGCTAAGACATCAGCTGATAGTTTTCTCAAAGTTCCCTTGTATACAGCCAGTTGTTTTTCTTTTGCTGCTTTTAGAGTCTCTATTTTTTTTGCCATTTTCATTACAATGTGTCTTGGTGTAGTCCTCTTTGGGTTCATTTTGTTTGGGAATTTCTGTGCTTCCTGGACTTAGATATCTATTTTATTTCTCAGGTTAGAGTAATTTCCAGTTACTATTTATTCAATTATGTTCTCTGCCCCTTTCTCTCTCTCCTCTTTCTGGGACCCCTATAATCTTAATATTAGAACACATTGATGCTGTCCCAGAGGTCTCTTAAACTATCCTCATTTTTTTTTTAAAAACTTTTTTTTAATGCTTAGCTTAGGTGATTTTCACTATTTTCTTCCAGCTTTCTGATCAAATCTTTAAATCAGTTACTGTGAATGATCATGGTTATTATGACCTAATGAAAATACTATCTTTGGAAAATTTCACATTTTCACACATACTTAAAATGTTAACTAAAATTAATTATAATCTTAAAACCATCACTTCTATCTTCCTACCTGTTTTATCTTCAGCAATAATTCACTTTTTTCAGAATTTGATGAATCATCCAGTTTTTCCTTGTTATTCTTAAAAAAAAGCCTATGAACAAAGGAAACCAAATAAATTCCTATTAGGACATGTTTTTCAGAAAAACCACATTTACTTATGATACCAGAAACTTCCAGTCCCCATCTCCCTATGCAACATATTTATTTACTATTCATTAAAATAAACAAAAATTTTAGTCTTTTGATATGATGTATTAATATTTATTTATATATTAATTTAAGAAGCAATTTTTGAATACCTACACTTTGAAGGTGATATAGATACTGGAGATACAGCACAGGCAAAGTCTCTACCATCATGGAAATTATACTCTAGTGAAGTAGGCAGAATAGAAGCAAGTTATCAAAAAATATATATTTCAGATAGTGTTAAATGATCCAAAGACCACGAAGTAGGGTAAAGTATAGAGAGATCCTGAGAATGATGACGTTAGTGTAGACAGGTGATTAGGGAGCACCTCTTGGAATAATTTGTGAAAGACCTGAAGGATGAGAAGGAGCCAGATATGTGAAGACCTTACGGAAGAGCTTTTCACATAGAAAGAGCAGCAGGTGATAATAACCTGGACAGGAGCATGTTTGCTGTGTCTGATGAAGACAGGAGTTTGAGAAGCCTGAAGAGATAGACACAGCCCAGATCACATAGGGTCTTGAGAACAAGGTAGAAGTTCAGATTTTATTTTGAAGGAAACCGGGGAGGACTTTTTAAGGAAAGGAATGACAGGAACTGATTCACATCTTGTAAAGATGACTCTGGCTACTGAGTAGGGAAAGACAATAGCACAGGAAGACAGACCATGTAGAAGTCTATGGCAAGGGTCCAGAAGAGATAATGGTGGCTCAGACTGAGGCTGTAGTGGTGGAGCTGGTGAAAAGTAGTTGGACTCGGGATATATTCTGAAGATGAAGGCAATGGGACAAGACTTTGGATTTGGCTTGAGTTAGAGTTGGATTAGGGTTAGGTTAGGTTATTTACCTAGTTGGGTTAGGGTTAGGTAGTGAGGAAAACTGGAATGGTGGATGACTTCCAGTTTTTTGACTGGAGTAATTAAACAGTGATGTGGAAGACTCAAGGAAGAGCTATTTCAAGGAGATGGGAAATTAAGAATTCTGTTTGGGACATGTATATTTGAGATATCCTTCAAGTGTGGTGGTTCAGATGGTAAAGAATCTGCCCGCAATGCAGGAGAACTGGGTTTGATCCCTGTGTCAGGAAGATCTCTGGAGTAGACATGGCAACCCACTCCAGTATGCTTGCCTGGAGAATTCCATGGACAGAGGATCCTGGTGGGCTACAGTCCACAGGATCACAAAAAGTCAGACACAACTGAGAAACTATCACTTTCAACTTTCCAAGTGCTAAGGTCAAATAAACTGCAGACTATATGCATTTAGAGGTCAGGGCTGAATATATAAATATGGAAGTCACTAGAGGTACAGAAAGAATGAGACTGAATGAAGTCATGTGTGGAGAGTATGAGTACAGAATAGAGGATGAATGGCTAAGAACTCCAAAATTTAGAGGCAGAAAGAAGAAATGGAACAAGTATAGGGTCCTGAGAAGGAGCAGTGTGGTAAGTGAAATAGGGGACGGTGATGTATGGGAAGCCAAATGAAGAAACCATTTCAAGAAGATGGAAGTAAGCATCTGTGTCAAATTCTATTAAGAATTCAAAAACTTTGGACCAGATCACTGAAATTTGGCAGGATGAAAGTCATTGGTAACCTTGACAATTTTGAAACCACTCAGCACTTTAAAGAAAAAAAAAGCGTCTATAATTGTTACAGCCTCCTGCACTATAAGGGCAAGTATATACTTTGGGTCACAAATTGGATGTCATTTATGTAGAATATTTAGTTTCTAATCTCTCAGTTCCCATGTGCTGATAACCAGCTCAATGACAAAGAAAGGTCATAGCAATTTAGAAAGATAGGTACTGATTTGTCTTTTATTATGCAAATACATCATTCTGGATATTAATAATAATAAAGAAGAAGGATTAAACTAGCAGTGCCTCCCATGGACTTGTGGTGAATTTTAGTACTCTTACCTGTCCACATAAAGAATTTAAATTAATTTAAATTTAATTAAAATTCCACATATTTACTTTAAACTTGGAATTGAGTAATTTTTGTTTTTTCTCAATATTTTGACCTCAAAATAGATGATGAGCTTGCAAGTTAAAGAATTCATGGTGGGCGGGACACGGAGAATTAAGACTTACAGATCAGTAAGAAGATAACCTATGCAAATTATTTAGTTTCTTGTTTAATTTAAAGAATCTTATAGATATTATAAAAATAAATTTGATTCTTAAAATTCACCAAACAAGAACTGAGCTGCTTCTCTCTGCCACCAAAGGTAGAAAAAAGGAAACAAGTGAGAAAATAAAAATACAGAGAATTCTCTTTTAGTTTGCTAAGTAATAAAGAGGAAAAAGTAAAGTTTTATTAATAAAAAGGGAGGAGGTAAATAGCCTCGATCACCAAATTAGTCAAAAGCACTTTTTCTCAGTGAGATTCTACATGAAAACTCTTAAAAAACTGTAATTAAAAAAAAAAAAGGTGAGCCGTTCAAAATGAAAGATCAATGGATCCCCATTTCCTTCTTTTTAAAACGTTTTTATTTATTTATTTATTTTTTTCATTTATTTTTATTAGTTGGAGGCTAATTACTTCACAACATTGCAGGGGGGTTTGTCATACGTTGACATGAATCAGCCATGGAGTTACATGTATTCCCCATCCCGATCCCCCCTCCCACCTCCCTCTCCGCCCGATTATTTTGTTTATTTATTTTTGACTGTGCTGAGCCTTTGTTGCCGTGCGGGCTTTTCTTCGGGTGCGGTGAGCAGGGCCTTCTCTCGCTGTGATGCGCAGGCTTCTCACCATGGGGCTTCTTCTGTTGCAGAACGTGGGCTCTAGGACACACACACTTCAGTAACTGCAGCGTGTGAGCTCCGCAGTGACAGCTCCCGAGCTCCAGAGCACAGGCTCCGTAGCTGCGGTGCGTGGGCTTCGTTACCCCGCGGCCTCCGGGATCTTCCCAGACCAGAGATCCAACCTGTGTCTCTGCACTGGCAGGTGGATTGTTTACTGTTGAGCCAACCAGGGAAGCCCCCCCCATTTCCTTCTGGAACACACTTTTAAAACTAGTTAGCTAACATGAAGACTGCTTAAAAATTTTAAATTTTTCATCAGTGTAGCAGCAAGGCTTTTGATGATAACGCCTAGAAATAATTTTAAGAGATAATCTGTAAATTCCATGATGATTTTCTGCCTGGTATTTAGGAAATAGATATCAACTAAAACTAACTTTGTGGAAGAAAAAGATTTTTTTTATTCTGATTTTTAATTGTTGTGTTATTTGAGCTTTCTGTTTTCAAATCTAGTACTGGGTGTAGAGATTATTGCATATTTTATGGACTGTTGATGGTAGAGTAGCACTGTGGTGCAATTCTTATTTTAGAGATATAACTTTAAGTGCAATAGATTCAAACCTATATAGAAAAGAGTCATATTATAATAAGATTCTATATGTGAAATTACATAGTCTTTTTTGGAAACTTCAGACCACAATTTGTCTTTTAAACTGTCAGCAGGTTGGAGAAGAAAAAAAATAAATAAATAAACTGTCAGCAAACCCTAGGGGTAAGCCCAGAAGCCATATTTATATTGAAAGACTCCGCCTTCCTGTCCAGAGCTGAGCTAAACAGTGTTTGTTGGGAAATCTGGGAATTCTCCTGGGAGAATCTGTTGGTCAGTCTCTAAAGTAGATGAACCTGTGCCAGGTAAACTCACAGTGTTTAGAATGGCCACGCTTACCCATGGGCTCACCAAGAAGACAACACAGCATGTAGATAAAGAGAATCATAGAAGGAAGCAAAGGCTGTGACCCTTGAAATGGGAGGAATATTTTCTTATGTTTCTGGTTTCCGTTCCTTGGGTAAGTTTTTGCCTTGAGGCTTCCCTGTATTTTCTCAATAAGTTCTGCAAGTCCTCTTTGACTATGAACAACAATTGTAACAGCATGGTTAGGTGAGTTTGTAGCATTATGGCAACGCCTTCCTCCAGGGGCATATTTGTTTATAGGGAGTAAGGAACTGAAATGAGGATAATCCACACCCCCAAATCCCTCCCTCTTCCTAAATTAAACACATCATCCTCAATTGTTTCTCCTAATCATCTGAAAAACTGGTTAATTTCACAATGAAGATGTGGTTCTATATAGCTGAAAATCACAGAAACTTTAGTAAACTAAGAGAATATAATCTTCATCTAATATTGGAAAAAATTTTCTAATGAAAATAACATCACATCTAGAAATGCTTCAGTGAAAATAAAGAATTATCCTTACATTTTATCCTCCAGGATCTTACAAGATTTCTTCATGTCTTCAACCTTTTCTTCCCACTGTCTTATTGATTCCTGTAGTCGTGCTAGTTCTAAATTGTGATCACTAAGAACCTGTTGAAAATTCAATAAATCATCAAATGACTCATGACAGCAGTTCAATTCACTAAATATTCATGTATCATCCATTCATCTTTTATACTGGGGGTGCCTTTAGTTAAAATAGAAATCAATCATTATATTACTTGTTTCTTTATAAAACAAACTGAGACAGAAATAATCCTGAAATCATCAGAAAAGAAAACCAAAACAACAAAACAAAAAACAAAATTTGGGAGGGAGAGAAATGAATTACAGCAATAGGAATGTAAAAACTATAAAAAAAAAACTTTAAAGATATGAATTCATCTTGACTACCATTTAAAAAATTAAATATACATTTTAATAATTATTTAAAATAATGTTATTCCAGGATATTGGAATGAGTATTATTTTAAAAGTCGAAACAAATCAGGTCTTTTGCCTTATTTGATAGCTATGTTCACGCTGAAGATTTTTTCTTAATGCTTAATCAGCATTTTGGAAATGGAAAAATTGGGTCTGATGAAAAAATGTTAGCATAATTAAAAGAAAGAACTATGAATGAAGAAAATTCATAGAGAAACAGATATTTTTATAACACAGTTTTGGTAAAAGAAAAGGGAAGGCAAATTTATTGGAGTTTGGATCTGCATTTCCACTTGTGAGGGAAAGTGGAGCTGAGAGAAAAGCTAATCAGACAGATTCCTTTGCTCTCTGCATAGAGTTACCCTGGGCAGATGATTTAACTTCCCCCCATCCTGCACACCAATGTGGGGTCAGAGAACACCTGTCAGGGGTGGAGGGGCACTCTGAGTCATGTCAGGTGAGACAGGTGACTGAAAGCCCCCCAAACTACATTTTTTCTCTAAAGCATTCATATGACTGAACTTGTGGACTATAGTTCCAGAGTTAACAGGAGTTTGAAACCCTAGAACTGACATCAAAAATTAGTAGACTGTCCAAGGGACTCTGACTGATCATCAGGATTAGTGACTATATGCTCAAGGCCCATCCGGCCTGAGATTCCTTTCCTCTAACCTCTAACCTCCCCACCCTGGACTGTAGGGCGCCTTGAGAATCATACACTGTTCTTCCTTTCTGTCAGAATCACATTAACTTGACCTGGTTGCAGAGTTTTCTAAACCAAAAATGCCACATGAAGGTGAACCTGAAATTCCCAGTAGTCTCAAGTTCATAGCCAAAATGTTGTTTTCTAACCTCAGGAAAAAACATCATCAACCACAACAAAGTTTACCAAATACAAAGCACTCAGCTAAAAGCCTTATAGGCATGACCTCATTCTTTCTCCACAAAAGTCCTTTGAAGTAGGCAGTCCTACCACCTCCACACTATAGACGAGGAAACTCTGGGTTAGTAAAGCCAAGATTCAGACGCAGGTTTCTCTGATACGTGTGTGAAGCTCATGCCCAGTCATGTCTGACTCTTTCGAGACCCCATGATCTGTAGCCTGCCAGGCTCCTCCGTCTGTGGAATTTTCCAGGCATGAATACTGGAGGGGGCTGCCATTTTCTACTCCAGGGGATCTTCCTGACCCAGGGATTGAGCCTGCGCCTCCTGAATTAGCAGGCTGGTTCTCTACCACAGAGCCAGCTGGGAAGCCCCTGTGATTCTGCCATTGTGCTTTAAACACGATTCTCCCCCCGCAAGGTGGGGTGGGCTGTTGGATTGGGGGAGGGAGAGAGACGCCGGCTTCCCTCGTAGCTCAGTCAGTAAAGAATCCACCTGCAGAGGAGGAGACCCGTGTTTGATCCCTGGGTCAGGAAGATCCCCTGGAGGAGGAAATGGCAACCCACTCCAGGATTCTTGCCTGGAGGATCCCATGGACAGAGGAGTCTGGTGGGCTATAGTCCATGAGGTAGCAAGAGTCGGACACGACTTAGCAACTAAAGAGAGAGAGACACTTGAGGTAAGTATCCCTGACACCTCAAGCTTTGTCTTATTTGGCCTTAGAGATCTTTGGAGTGCAGGTTAAGGAACATATATTTCATTTTTCCAAGCTAAGTGATGTGTGTGACATAATTTATGAGGCTCTAATATATGAGCTTAGGCAGATAAAATCTGTTTTATCCAACCCATCTTCTCCTTTGAGCCTAGCTAGATTCATGCTTCCTTATTGCATTGATATTTGGAAAAAAAAACAACAGATAATGATCTTGTATGCAGAGGAAATTTTTTGTTTTACTAAAGTTTTGTAATTGGATGTCATAATGGATGTATTGTAATTATAATGGTCAAGGAAAAAAGCGTGGGTACTCAGTTGTGTTCGACTCTTTGTGACCCCATGGACTGAAGCCCACCAGGCTCCTCTATCCAAGGTATTCTCCAGGCAAGAATATTGGGAGTGGGTTGCCATTTCCTCCTTCAGGGGATCGTCCCAACCCAGGGATCAAACCCATGTCTCCTGCATTGGCAGGTGGATTCTTTACTATTGAGCCACCAGGAAAGCCCATAATGGTCAGAGCTACCCCATAAATGAACATGGGTATAATGGAATTAACTGAACATTCTAATAAGAAATGTTATATATATATTAGTATTACTATTGCCCCATATAGTTTTACTGTAATTCTCAGTACAGATAGAGGCCTTCCCTGGTGGCACAGCAGTAAGGATCCACCTGCCAATGCAGGAGATGTGGGTTTGATCTCTGGATGGGAAAGATCCCCTAGAGCAGTAAATGGCAACCTGCTCCAGTATTCTTGCCTGGAAAATCCCACGGACAGAGGAACCACAGTCCATGGGGTCACAAAGAATCAGACACGACTTAGTGACTAAACAACAATAATTCAAAACAGACAGAAGAAATCACTAAAGACTCATTAATTCAACTAATTATGATAGATTACAGGTGTCTCTATTTTAATTAACAGAAGTAGTATTAACATAGACCTCTTCAGCTTTAGTCACCTCCATAAGCTTCAGTTTTCTCATCTTTAAAATGAGGATAATCCTCATTTTAAAGTACTGACTATCACAGTACTGGCTTTTTCAATCAATGTTATCAATTTTTAAAAGTAAAAGTGCATATTAATGTTCTTGTACTCAGTATAAATGGAGAGCCCAAATTCTGTTTGATTAACACATATTCAGAAATAAGGAACCTGTTGATGGTTATTCACTTTGTTATGTAGAATAAAGCAACCTCACAGAAACATTACATAATCTTCTGTATGCATTTGGTCAGTTCTATATGTGTTTTTTAAAACCCGTTTTATAGTACTTTGGCCCATTAAAGGGACTTCATGTGTAGCTCAGTCAGTAAAGCATCTGCCTGCACCGAGGGAGACCTGGGTTCAATTTCTGGGTTGGGCAGTCCATTAAATGCAATTTATACCTAAGGCATTCCAAACTTACATCTTTTCAACACATTCCTGAAGAAGACATAACTGCACTATGACAGTTTAAATAATATGTCAGAAAACGTTAACATGCTCAAAACATTCTCCCCAGAAGGGCATGAAGATGAATTAAAATCAACTCCTTTTTAAAAAAAAACTCCTGCTATGTTTAAGACAGTGTATATTGAGATGCCTGGGGTCAGGCATGAAAAACCAGTTTAGTTTTTCTTACCACTGTGCTCGTAGTAACAGTTTCTCTCATTTTTGTCATTGTAAGCCTTAATTTATCCAATTCTTTCTTCTTTGCGAAAGTTTCCTTTCTCTTAAGTTCACAAAGTTTTTTATATTCTTCAATCTGTATTAATAAACAAATCATAAAGCTTAAGATGACAACAAAGCTTAGGGAAGCCTTTAAAAAAATTTTGCCAACCTAATTCATATTTACGTATACCATATTTAACCTAAACATTTTACCAAATTAAAACAACCAGGTTTGGGCTTATTTTGAAGCATCGAAGGAAAAATAATAAATCACAAAGACTGAATTGTAATTATGAAATGTTGAACTAGTAAATTTAGAGTTACAATAAAACAATGATCATTAAAAGCAAATTATAAAAGTAGCTTTTGTTCTAAAATTTACTAGTAAAACATAAAAACATAAAAAAATTTACTGGTAAAATACAACAATATATAAAATAAAAAAACAGATTTACAGCACATTAGGAGAGTCAAAGGAACGAATTAAGAATTGTTCAGAAATTTAAATTCACATTATTTAATGAGGGATAAAACAGACCAAAACCAAAATCATTGAAGGTAGGGCAGCTTACAGCCCTGAATAACTTGCCATTGTGTCACCCATACCAGCCCCGAGAGCTGAAGGATCCTTACTTTGATTTATCTGTGTTTCAAAAGCACCCGGTATTTGGCAGAAATGCTTTGTGGCTATGCCTTAAGAGATATTCAGTGGTCAAATGCCCCGAACTAGCTGTGTGACTTAGCACAGGAATGCCCTTCCTGTGTACATAAGACCTTGAGGTGTCAGAAAGTTAACTTTGCTTCCTTACCATGTTAAGATCTCTGCCCCAAAAGGGTGGTTGTACCCTGCTAGGTGGGCTGCAGTCCATGGGGTCGCTAAGAGTCGGACACNTTTTTTTTTTTTTTTTTTTTTTTAGAATGTTGAAGAATTGTAACTCTGACTTGTTCAGTAGTCTTTGTTCTGATAAGATATAAAACTGTGCTGAAAACCCTGCTTCTCCGGAATAGCTCCTTGGAGTAATCTGGGAAGATGGCTTCTGAACTAGTTCTTAGTTTGGCTCAAATAAAACTCTTTTCTGTTCTTATTATAGATTGTTTATTGACTATTCTCATTAACAGGATAAATAACAATTTTACTAAGATCAAACATATTGTGATTACCTGTCAGATCCTACTTAAATGAGTCACCTTCTTATCAAAATCAAACACATCATGAATTTGTTGGCAAGATGAATTATCAAGAGCAAGGCAAGTGAGTAGTAAGGCCTGAGAAACCATATTTAACTTTGTATTAAAGAATTAATGAAAATATATAGTGGTGTGGTTTTCCATCAGTCATCAGCCAATTCACACAAAGTGGCTACTCTGAATGAACGTGATCAATATCAATTATCTCTGCACTAGGGCACAGGTACATTAAAATGAAACTTGGTGATAATAAATTTTGTTGAAAATTGATATTCTGTCCTCATTCTTTGGCTTAAACCTTCTCCCAAAGTCTTGCAATTATAGAAATAATATTAGCAAAAGCAATTCTATTTTGTGTTAGAGGAGACCTTATGGGTTTGAAGACTGACAGCTGTAAACAGGTTTTCCTTTCTCATTGGAAATAAAGGGAATTAACAAGCTGTTACCACGGCATATGATGTGCATTTAGTGAGAATCAATGGTTGACTCGTTAATATCCACCCTAGCTGGTCTAGCGGAGAAGGCAATGGCACCCGACTCCAGTACTCTTGCCTGGAAAATCCCATGGATGGAGGAGCCTGGTAGGCTGCAGTCCATGAGGTCGCTAAGAGTCAGACACGACTGAGCGACTTCACTTTCACTTTTCACTTTCATACATTGGAGAAGGAAATGGCAACCCAGTCCAGTGTTCTTGCCTGGAGAATCCCAGGGACGGGGGAGCCTGGTGGGCTGCCGTCTATGGGGTCACAGAGAGTCGGACACGACTGAAGTGACTTAGCAGCAGCTTAGCAGCTGGTCTAGCCCACTAGTACATGCATTCCCTGAGGATCCATTAGTATTCTGGGGTGGGCATTATCTTAACCTGGCAAGAAGACTTATGTCCCTGGGTGGGAAAGGTTTTCTTCTTCTACTTGAATACGGACGCATATAGTCCAGTTGTCACTGGCAGGCATCTTGTGATGATGAGGGAAACCAGCCTTAAAATGAAAGATGGAAGAGGGATGAGCCACTGAATTAGCTAGTCCTGGAGTCTCCCCTACCTTGGGAATTCTTATTGTGTAAGATGATAAATGCCCTTACTATTTAAGCAAGTTTGAGTCAAGGCTTTTGCTATTTGCCTCTGAGTACTCTAATGTTTTTCCTTTTCTCCCAGGGCACTAAACCAAGGGTAGGCAAATTACTACCTGTTGGCCAAATCCAGCCACTACCTGTTTTTGTAAAGCCACACTTATTCATTTAATTAGTGCTTTTGACTGAGAAACACTGTACACAAAAGGAAGGAGAACCTATCATGTTCTCAAATTCTCAATCTGAAGTCCCTCTGGGCTTCCTTTTTAAAATTTTATATAAAATATATATTATATATAATATATTCTTTATATTAAAGAATAGGAAGGGATGGGAGAGGGTGGAAACTTCTCTCTAGGGCTTAAAATGAAGTTAGAAACTCAATCATTCAATACAGTAATATTATAGAGTGCCTACTACACGCAAGGTATGCCAGGCACCCATCATGGTGCTAGAATTCAGCAACAAAAAGACAGACAAAATCCCTGCCTGGTGGAGTCTTCCTTCTGGTGGGCAAATGTCAGTAGTACTCAGGCCACCACTGACCATTGTTTCAACCCCAGTGAAGTAAAAAAAAAGAGAGACAAGGCTCTCCTCCATCCTCACCTACACTGCCCTGCACATCACCCCTCAAGCTGTGCCCATGCAGACACATCCGCTCTTTACCCCTGTAACTTCAGTGAGCCCCTCCAGAGTGGGAGTTCTGGACTGCTCAGAGAGAAAGTCCAGCAGGGGGCTGGAAACAGTGGGTGAAATGAAGTCCTCTCAGCGTTGTTGCAGGTAGAGAAAGAAAAGAGGAAAAACCCCTTTTGGTTCTTATTATTCTGACACCATTTCACTGTAATAACAATAAATCCAAGCAAGGTCTAGCCTGATGACAGGAGCCATGGATTTCAGTTGACTCCAGCACTGCAGTGCAGGCTAACAATGACTTCATCCCCTGAAAAGGTTCATGGAGTTCAACTTTTACAAATTCTGGTTAGTGGTTGCAGACTGCCCAAGGGACCGCTTGTCGATGACTTCACAAAGCACCTGTTCTCAGGATGACTAAGGCTGAGCTATTTACACTTAAAAAAAAAAAAAACAATCCATGGTTTTCGTGTAAAACTGTTTCTGAAGATACAGGTGCTTTAAAGGATAAAAACTCTCAGACTTAACTGGAACTTATGAATAGTCTTACCATGAAAAAAGGTGGTGCTAGTGGTAAAGAACTTGCCTGCTAATGCAGGAGATGTAAGAGTTGTGGGTTTGATCCCTGAGTTAGGAAGATCCCCTGGAGGAGAGCATGGCAACCCACTCCAGTACTCATAACTGGTGTATCCCATGGACAGAGGAGCCAGGTGGGCTACAGTCTATAGGGTCACAAAGAGTCAGACACAAGTGAAGCAACTTTGCACACATTATGGAAACAATCACAAGAACTAGATTGAGACAAGAATGAAGAGAGGAGGGGACAAAGCCATGGAGAAAAACAGGATACTACAAAAACTGGTTAAACTGGATAGGCCCAGGATGGCAGAAAATTTGACTTTCAGTTGACCTCGAGCCTCTTTATATGCTCATTGTAATATATTAGCATATGCTAAATGACACACCTACTAGTGCCATGACAATTTGAAAGCTGACCATAAGAAGCCAGAAAGCGGGCAGTGACCAAATTTCTGAAAATCCCCACCCCTTACCCAAAACAGCTGTGCGGTGCTGGAGTGACTTTGAGGAGATATTCCACATCCAAGGGCAAAGGAGAAGC